GGTGACCTGTGGCATCTGTAGATAAAAACAGCTCATTCTAAGGTAACGAAAACATAACAAGTCTGATTTTCTGGTGATTATTCACTAACTAAACATACCCATGAATATTATATTCAATTTCTGACAATAGATCCTCCTAAATGTTACAAACTGGACCTTTTAAATAAACCCTTGCTAACGTTATGATGAAAGGCTCAGCAATAGAGAAATGTCTAATTGGATGTTTAATTAGATTAACATACGTTTACAGGGTTACGTAACAGCTTCAGTAAAGACTCACATGGGGTCACGTTGGGGCTCCTGGCACCTGTGTACACACACACACACACACACACACACACACACTTACATTGAAGGTTAAACATGCGGAAGTGAAAATGCCATAACATATGCCGTAACACATATACAGAGAGCTTGAGAATATTTCCTGCTGCTGAGGGACAATAGAGTTCACAACACCATCTGTGACTTTTCACCTACATTAAATTGATGGCTTTTCACAGAACCGCTGTCAAGTGCTGCACACTGCTGTGTTTTTTAAAAGGTGTTGTTTGAAAGGGGTTCAGAGAGTCAGAAAGATTGTTTGTCACTGAAAAAAGAATTTAATAAACCGTTACACAAGCTACAAAGAAATTAGAGCAAGGCTGAAACCAATTCAGTAAAGAATCAGATAATAAGGTGGGTTTAAAGGATGTTATTAAAACATTCAAACTAAAATTTGTATTCAATAGAGCTATGAGAGATTTTAAAAAGTTTATAAAATAAAATTAAAACTAATTGTAATCCAATGTCCCACTGAGTAACCTAGTGTGTGAGGTGTCAGTACAATAATGTTATAATGATAACATAAAAGATGTTTTTTTTACTGCTTCCCTCGAAGGGAAAATTAAAATTGGCACAGCAGCACAGGGTAATGTAGTACAAATAATAAATAAAATACAACAAAATACAACAAAATATCATAAAATATATACTATATACAGTAAAACAGAAGCTTGTGATAAAGAACAATTCAACAAAACCACAAACAACAGTATCCCAAATTACAAGAAAAATCAATAACATTCGGACCTTCTGAACAGCAAATGTATTATCTTATTTCATTGATTTATACTGTACAACTGTTGCTGTTATTGTGTCCATCCCCTATAAGGACTTAAAAGAACAAACAAATGGCTGTTCTCTTTTAGGATGCTGTCATCCAAACAGCTAGAAGGCAACTCTGTTTTGTGGGACTCCAAATTTAAAATATAAACGCTACAATTTGAGGTCTTTATTAGACAGTCAACAGTAGAAAGATGACAGGAAATGAGGGGTTACAGAGATGGGAAAAAACAAAAAAAGACAAAAAAAGGTGAGCTTGAACCAGGATTATTACAGTCCCCAAACCAACATCCCCCCCGATAATAAATATCTATCTCAACATTTGTCTAGTTTTATTTTTAATTATTTAGACAAACAAGAATATATGATTAGTATCTGTTGGAGAAAATTACCTCTGAAATGTTCTTGAACGCTGTTATTTTTCCTTTAGAAAAAGATCCACAGAAACAACCAATGTCTGTGTACCTAATGTCCAAAACATTAAAAGAAGGTAGAAAAACTCATCAAGGCATTTTCCTGACCTTGCTTTGCTCACCAGGATGTGCAAATACAATTCCCTCTACAAGCTTATAGTGTGGCTTTGAGTCTGACACATATTTCATATTTTAAAGGAAGGTTCAGGTTGATTCATGTAAATAGATATTACATTTATTTAACCTTTTATGCAATCATGAGACAGAAAGTAAGTTTTTTATTATCCATTAACTGGTGAGTATTATCACCACATCGACTGCAGGTGAATGTGTGCTTAAGCTGATACAGTATGTGGTTATCCTTTAACAAAGATAAGAATCCCTTTGCCTTTATTTTCATGGCTTGGTCAAACATGCCTGAGAATGTGTCACATTGGAGGGTCAGAGGTCATTTATCAGGTGAAAAACCACAAGCGTGAGTGCAACAACATGATTAACCCAGGATCAATATGACCACTGAATGACATTTTTTCCAATTATCCAAAACAGTTCAGTTTATTTGCAGATTATGTTCTCAGATGAATGGATCTGGTTTTAAGTGTTAAATATCAAAGGAATGCAGCGACTCTAGATTCATGGCTACAGGGGTGGAAACGTCGGCTGGTTCACACTGAAATATCTCAACATTTATTGGATGGATTGCCATGACATTTGGTACAAACATTCACGGTCCCCACGGGATGAATCCATCTGACCTTGGTGAGCCCTTGACTTTTTCTTTAGTGCCACCATGAGGTGCACATTTGTGATTGCATGCAACTGCATGGCTGCCATGAAATCTCTCCCTCTCAGGATGAACTGTAATAAGGTTTGTGATCACTTAAAGGTCCAGTGTGTAACATTTAGGAGGATCTATTGGCAGAAATTGAAAATAATATTCATAGGTTTGTTTTCATTAGTGTATAATCACCCAAATATAAGAACTGTTGTGTTGTGATGATTTTGAACATCCAAACCAAACACTGGCTGTAGTTTTCTGTGCATTTCTCAACCACCATAGTTTTGGGGTTTTTTTGCACTTGGAAGATCAGGGTGAAGCGAGGGGGTTGCTCTCTGCAACTACACCGCCGGAGGCCACTAAATCGTGCACACTGGAGCTTCAACTTTAGATGAAGTTATTCCATCTTTCTGTTTCTGTTTAACTGGCAGTGATGTTGCACTTCCTATTAATATAAAGAGGTTAAGTATGTTGTTTTTCTGTAAACTAACTGACACTATAAGGCCGTAAGAATTAGTATGTAATATGTATTTGTGTTAGTGTTGTTATAAGTGATACTAGAAACCTAAAAAACCTAGAAAACTAAAACACTGGTTTTTGAATCAAAGGACGTATTTGCCTCCAAATGTTCAGGACTGAGCTTTAAAAAACTTTAAAACCTTTTAGGAGGTAACATATTTTGCTGTGAAACCATTTTATGAAAACAGACTTGGATCATCATTAGACAACTGTTTTATACTCTAATACATCACCAGAAGAAAACAAGTGAGGAAGCAGAGAAAGTAAAGTGCATTGAAAGTAATAATTAACTGATTAAAATTCAACCACTGAAGCAGTTGTTTATCATAATATACTGCAGTTCTGACCACATTGTCAATGGCTGTATTGCTGCTTCTAACGTTATGTAAATGTTTTTAATAAGCATTTTGTGGCCTGCAGCTTTTTGTCTGATTATTTTCTTTCCATCTCCTCTGTTGATTAACCACCAAAGACTGCTTCAGCTTCAGCCCATTTCCAGAGCAAGTGGTTTCCAGGGCCCTTAAAGTTCTCTGTGAAACCAGGGCAGAAATTAAAAGTGAAACCAGAGGCAGAGAGAGCTGCTGTGGGAGCAGTGGATCAAAAAAATCAGACGCACCTGTGCCAAATTAATCTTTCTTTACACCTGTGTGTGCTTTAGTAAAGTCTCCAGAGGAAAACCCCTGAAGTCTATAAAAGCAGGAAGATGCAGTAAATGTTCACTTGAGATAGTTTGAAGGTTGAAAGACACTAACGGTGAGGTGAAATCTGAATGTTGTTTGTTGTTTATAAGAACCAGAATGCCTTCTGTCAGTGTCTTTCTTGGTAAAAGGCAAACTCTACTGCTATCAGACACTGACTCTGGTTCTTTGCTGATCCTTTTATCCTTTCAATGTTTGACAAAATCCCAAAGACAAAATATTCTGGAGCTCTTTAATAACTTTTATTGTGACATTTGTGGTTTTACCTGTGGTTATGTGTTGGGCTGCTTCTTAGCCAGTGGCAGTAACTTCTTGGACTGTCTTTTTGTTTGTTCTTTTGTATGCATTAAATGTTTAGTGAGCTTTAAAGGTGCTGGTAGGTAGGTTAGTCTGACTAATAGTGCCTTCCAGACGCTGGAGGAGGTGGGCCGCCCGTTGTGACAAAGAGTCGCCCCAAACGGTGGACTATATCTCAGCATTCGTCTTAAAAATGTATAAGGAGACTTAAAAACAGTAGCGGATGCAGATTTTAATGCAACACCAGCATTATTATAATTCAGTTTACAGCTCAATAACCCGCTGTAGGATGTAGTACCTTATTAAATCAGTTGTAGCCGACACACTGCCCAAATTCTGACCAGGGACCCGTTTAAGCGTAATGCATTGTTAACAACTGGTGTTGCTAACTGTAGCGGATGGCTTAACCACCTAGAGCTTGGTTCGGTGTGATGACTTTCCCAGCTCCGACTTTGGACTTCGAGCTAAATGTAACTGAACACTTCCAGTCTTCATGCTGAGCTAAAGCTGAGCAAGCTGGCTGCTAGCTGTGGCTTCCCATACAGACATGAGAGTGGTATTGATCCTCTCATCTAACTCTCTGAAAGAAGCACATATTTCTTTAATAATTAAATTGAGATTAAAAGTCCGGGCAGATCATGCGGCTAGCTCTCTCACTAATGTGAATGTGTGTTGGAATGGGCATACTAATTATTTCTTTGATTGCGATTTTGGTGGGGGAGAAAATGTAAAATATTTAAGCTATGCAAATAAGCAGCTGCTAATTTAAACCTGAGCCAAACCAGAGAAGGGGAAAAATGAAACATGTATTTCTTTAGTTCTTTCTTCTCTTTCTTTAGTACCACTTTATTCTTTTAAAAGATGTTTGGATCTTGTTTGTGTTCATTATTCATCTTGTTTTTAATTTTCACATTTTATTTGTGTGTTTTTGGCTGAGATTCCTTTTTGAAAAAGAAGATACTAAAAAAAGTTAGAATCATTGCGATCAATGGACAGAAGAATGAATGAGCTACATAAACGTACAAAGATAAGGCCTGTTTGAACAGTGTTGTCATTTGAACAGGTGCCAACTTTCACACTCCTCTTCATCACACACTTTAACATGTAAACACAGAGGAGGGGCTAAAGAGTGATCAGTGATGAAGCTGCAGGTCCTTGTAGATATCTATAAAACTGGCCTGCACAGAGGTGGGACACTGATTGCATACAGGTGAGCATTTCTGTGCACGCCTCCTGTTCTTCCCTTTCTGTTGTTGACCCTTAGAAATTATCTCATGTTCAAGAACAAACTCCTGATGTAAAGTTTATTGTTTTTCTAATGTCTGTTGTCTTTCTCTGCAGGTTGAGGTGATAAGATGAAGACCATGCAGGTGATTTTCTTGACTCTGCTGTCTGTTCTCGCAGCCAGCGCTCAGGTCCTGAAGTTTGGCAGATGTCCCAAACCTGCTGTTCAGGCCAACTTTGATGCCACCAATGTGAATATTAAACCATTTTCTTGTTAAATTACTGTTAAAATGTAACTAATTCTCCTAATATTCAGTACCTGCTCAGTTTTCTTAGTGTATGTAACGATGTGTTTCCTCTGCAGTACATTGGTAAGTGGTATGAGATCCAGAAGCTGCCAACATTCTTCCAGAAAGGCGAGTGTGGCACTGCCACCTACAGCCTGAAGAGTCCTAGTGTCGTTGGTGTCCTGAACAGAGAGCTGCTGTAAGTAAATGCTATCTTAATGTCAAAAGTTTACATCTGAGGGTTTGAACATACTCCTATTGTTTAAATTAAAATGGTTCTTTCTAAACTACAATTTACTTATTGTCCTAGTCAGCTGCAAATTCTCCATTTGTTACCTTTTAATACATTGTTTTTCAAATGGGGGTATATGTACCCCTAGGGTAACTTTGTAGTACTGCAGTCGGTCATGCATAATTTCTACAATAATTATAATATAAGTTCAATAACAAAATGTAAGTTCAATAAACCACAATGCTGCTATAACTGCCGTAAAACCTCTGGAAAAAGAGTCTGATCACTGCAGTTTCCTGCCACAGATAATGATAAGATGATTTTCACTAAATTGTAAGTGCAAATTATCAATAAGACGCAGTTCAATGCAACTACAATACTGTTGTGTTATTGCAGAATGATAAAAAAATAATTGGTTTGCTATGAATTTAGAGATGGATTCAAACAAGTGTTTCTTCTTAATAAATCAGACACTGTATTGGACCTCTTTGTAGTCTTTTCAACCAAAAATGCTTTGTGCTGGTCAGGTGACACACAAAAAAATTTCAAAGGAGGTACATTAATGAGAAATGTTTGAGAGCCACTGCGTCAGTGTATCAGATGTATTGAATGTCCTTAATAACACACGCAACCACAGCCTGCTCTTTACACTGATAGAAATGTAAGAAATGAAAGCCTTTAGTGAAAAAGGAAGAATCAAAAATTAGACTGTTACCGAAAGGAAATACGTGACTAAATTAATTAGTTTTTCATGTTTCAACTCTTTTTTTTTTTTTTTTTTTTCTTCTTTCTCTTCAGTGATGATGGAACCATTAATTCAATCGTGGGCTCTGCCAAGGCCAAGAACCCCGCTGAGCCTGCCAAGCTTGAGGTCTCCTTCTTTGAAAGTAAAGAAGTCTAATTCATTACACACACATTCTGACATTCAAGTCCAGTCTTAATAAGTAGTTTTCTTGTGTGCTGAATAATCCTGCAGCTCTGACTCTCATATTTCTCCTGCAGCATCTCCCCCTGGTCCCTACTGGGTGCTGTCCACCGACTATGAGGGTCACTCTCTGGTCTACGGCTGCTCCGACTTCGGCCTGTTCTACATGGAGCTGTCCTGGATCCTGAGCAGGGAGCCCACCCTGTCTGCGGAGACCATGGAGGAGCTGCACGGTATCCTGTCCTCTGTTGGAGTCAGTGTGGACAAGATGGTCCCCACCAACCAGGATGAGACCTACTGCAGCCCCATGAACCAGTAAACTGAGATACTATAACAGTTTCAGCCTACAGGACTGTGACCGGCCGACTGGGATCTATGACACAGCTGAAGTCAGTGTGTGATGTGGTCGATCAGTTTACAAAATTGTGCAATAAAAAGTGCAATAAACCTGGAGAAAGAAATGCATTGTGTGTTTTGTCTTTAGACCTTTTTAGGATGTATTTACTGAAGCCGAGTCCAAACAGCCGCAAGATTTCTGCCTCTAAGTGAGGACTGGTGGAAAGTACTAAGTACATTTCCTCTAAGAACTGTATTAAGTAAATTTATTTACTTGATTTACTTGATAACTAGTCGTAGATTAAGGTACTAACACAAAGAAGAACATTTGAATGCAAAACTTTTACTTGTAAGAGTATTTCTACATTGTGATATTACTATTTTTACTTAAGATCTTGGTAATTCTTCCACTACAAACACGCAACGCTGAAAATATTTTGAGCCCAAATTTTTTTTGTCAGAATTTTTCTAATACAAATTTTAAAAAGTTTTTTGAGTCCTTGGGAGTCACAAATCATACAAACTAAAATGCCAAAAAAAATTTAAAAGTTCCTTTAACTTTTTTCATCTTGGTTTCATCTCAGATTTGGAGTGGAAGTGGAAGTCATATAAGGTCTTTGTAGGATTCATATTCAACGCTCAAACATATGTTAAGACCACAGATGATTGTTACATTAATATAAAAACTGTATTTATTGTGCAGGATGGACCCATAGGTTTGTAGGAAGCTAATGCAATGATGTAGAACAGCAGTATTATACTGTAACACTACTATTTAGCATTCATAAGCAGTATATAAACAGTTAATAAATGTTTATACTATACTGTAGTTACGAGCAGATATAATGGCATTTAAGTGTTTATTAATATAAAATAGTTAACAATAATAACTTCTCCTATGAAGACATATTTTATATCATACAACTGTATTTGACTTTATTACCATTTATTATCTGTTTACTCGGCAGTTGACTCCACTTATTGACGTCCACAGAAGGAGTTGTAGTTTTTGATAAATACATAAATTAACAGTTATATAGATATTAAAGTGTGTTACAAGCCATCAATCAAATGTTTCTATACTGCTTATAAATGCTTAATAGGGGGGCTTAGAGTAAAGAAAGCCTCTGGCCAAAGTGCAAGAATATTTCAATAAAATATGAAGTTGCATAAGTACTGATTTATTTGAATGTGTGTCACCTTTTTCTTGTTCGATTTTTATTTTTGAGTTTGAGTATACACTTGTTGTGTGAGGTTAATGCATTTTTGTTCTCTTAACAGCTAAAAAAGAATAATCTTTAACTAATTATAGACAAAATATGCCACTTACATAGACTTTGTTTACAAGTGTAAATGGACGGAGAAGGATCCATTAAGGACTAATAATTTACAAATGAATGAAGGATGTAACAGCATATTAACTTTGCTGTTAAACATGCTTTTTAGACAAGTCATTAATGACTTTGTGAAACTATGCGTGTAAAACATTCTGGCTATCAGAGTCCAAACCCATTAAAGCCATTTTACAAAGAGAAACACATCAGCAGCACAGAAACAGATAATCAATTATGTTTATGTTAATATCAGACCACCACCACAAAAGACACCAAAACCTGAACTGCTGTTTAAATAAGTTTATTGCATTGACTTTACATGAGACATACAGACATTTACACCACACCGCAGTCTGTTTGCTGAACTACCTCAGTCTGTTTACTGGTTCATGGCACTGCAGTAAGCTGCATCCTGGTCGGTGGTGAGCAGCTTGTCCACTCTGACTCCGATGGCGGACAGGGTGCTGTGCAGCTCCTCCATGGTCGCCTCAGGCAGGGTGGGCTGCCTGCTCAGGATCCAGGCAAAGTCCACATGCAGCACACCGAGGTCGGTGCAGCTGTAGACCAGAGAGTAGTTGTCGTAGTCGGTGGACAGCACCCAGTAAGGGGCAGGGGGAGAGTCTGGAGGTGTAAAAGCACAAAACAATCATATCTGTGTTGACAGTTTTCAAAGTTTCTATGTCTACAGGATCGTGAAAGACAATGTTCACTGCAATTTAAAGTGTTGATACGGTTTGTAATAGATTACGGGTCCTTACTCTCAAAGAAGGAGACCACCAGCTTGGCAGGCTCAGAGGGGTCCTTGGCCATGGCAGAGCCGCTGATAGAGCTAATAGTCCCATCAGCACTTAAAGAAACAGTAAATACATACAATTATAAACAGACACCAACAGCAGAAACTAAACCATGTGAATCTGTTTAATGTCAGGTTTTAAATAATTAATTTTAATTTATTAGAAGGAATTATTCCTATTTGAAATGTATTGTTTGAGCTATCTACAAGAATTAGACTTTTTAGACAAATTTAAGCTGCACAAAACTTAAATTTGTAGCTTATAGACCACCTGTATGTTTAAGTTTTAGCACCCAAACTCTTCATAAGACATAGATTTTCATGAGATGTAGGCGGAGTACTCACAGCAGCTCCCTGTTGAGGACACCAACAACTCCAGGGCTCTTCAGGTTGTAGGTGGCAGTGCTGCACTCGCCCTTCTGGAAGGCATGTGGCAGTCTCTGGATATCATACCACGTACCAAGATACTGCACAGAGGAAGCACAAACGGACATAAGAGTGTGAAATTAAGATACAGAATCTTGAGGTATTGCCCATGAAGGTCTCTTTTGTTAACTTCTGGAAGTTAAAGGATATGAATATTTAATGCTGAATATATTAAAGTTTAAAAGAAAAGGTTTGATATTCACCTTAGCAGCATCAAAGTCACTCTGAACAGCAGGCTTCGGGCATCTTCCTGGCATGATGACCTGAGCGTTGGCTGCCAGAACGGACAGCAGAGTGAGGGAAATCACCTGGATGGCGTTCATCTTTTCTCCAAAAACATGTAGAGAACAAAAAAAGCTGTTCAGATATTCAGGTTTTTTTAATTATTTCATTTTTATTTTAACAAAACGAGGGACACCTGCCACATGATTACCTGTATTACTGGGTATAAGTGATGTTCTGAGTTTCGATGATGATTTTATAGATTACTGACGTGTCTTCTGCAGCCCCTCCTTCTCTATTTACATGTGAGGCTATTTTAAGAAAAACATGTGAGAATTGACACCTGTTCAAATGTTTTTTTTAAAGAGGCCTCTGACAGAAAAAGAGATGACTGACCGGTTAGTGAAAAAGTCAGATTACTTTAGCACCACTGACCATGACGACTGTTAGTAGAATTTAAATGTAAAGAGTGACAATTATATGATTATATTTAGGTGTTGGTTAGATGCTGTACAGTGAGTTTTCCTCAACGGACCCATTTTCTATCAGTGAGTAAACTGATGCGTAACAATAACAGTACAGCACAACTGATTAACTGTACATTGTGCTTAAATACAGTCTCACAAAACCTTTTTTTACCTTTTATTTAACCAGATAAATCAACTGAGAACCTCAGACGACCTGGTTTGAGAGGCAGCAACATGAGGCCAGTTGATACAACTATTAAAACATGCATACAGACATACAATATATACAGTATGTACAATATATACAGTGTGTACACAACATATATCTAAGTACTGTGTTCCAGAGATCAAAAGCAGGCGCAGTGATCAGAAACTAACGTGTGCACTGAATTATTGAAGGAAGGAAATGGAAGAGGCGAGTCTAGTTTTAACCTCACTGGATCAAACATGAATGGATCCAATGACACAGGTAACAACAACTCCAGTGATTCACATTCAGCCTCAACTATTGTACAAAGGCCCTGCTAATCATTTCATTTTTCCATTTTCAATTTTCTTTTCTTTTTCCTTTTTCTAATTTTCTTCAAAGCTCCTTGTAAAACATTTTCGCAGCAGGGTTTCTCTTCACCTCAGTTTAGGTGTTTGATCAGCCCACTTGAGACTGAGACCGTCACAGAGTAAGGTATTCTTTTATTGATGCAGACATGTGAAGAGTGCTTCTTCATCGGACTGAAGAGATTACCCTGCCTAAAGATATTATAGCTCAAGTGTCTCACTAAAAATGTGCTTTATTCCCTTTGATAAGAAAATAACAATTTAAACCTAGAATTGGTTTTATGACCCTCTGCCTTCAATCAGAAGCAGAATAAAAGTATTTTATGCATTTAGTTGTGATTAAATATATAAAAGAAACCACATATTTACTGTGTTTTTGCTGTGTCAGTGGGTGTTTCCTGACTGTAGTACAACTAGGATCTAAAGGCTTTTACAGTTATTTAAGGGATTCTTGATCCTGAAGAATCCTACTACCCAGGATCTCACGGTAATCAAGACCTAAACAAGATTTCCACCAAGCGCACAAGATGTAATGCTTCCACCTTTGAGGGATTACAGCTTTGGTACAGTTGTCATTCGCTGGGAAAGAATACAGGACATACAAGTGATCCGGACACCAGAATGTTACTGTAATCACAAGATGAATGGGACAATGTTTGCACTCAATCAGTTGAATTTATAGCCGGACCTGTTTCTGGAGGTTAAACCTGTTCTGATCCCTTCGCCTCGCTGTGACTCTATAATGCTGAGTCCAAACAAGACGGACAGAAATCCCTTATAAAAAGCTTACACCTTGGAAACTCTTAAATTAGCGGTTTAGATGTCCTAATGCTCCCGTCTTTTAATTCCTAAGTCCTTTATTAGTCTCTGTTCAGTAAAAAACATCAACCTACTTGTCTTCCCACACAGCTGCAGAAGCTCTCTGAGGAGATATATTCCTCCCCTTGTGATTATAACACAACTTAAAGGGAATAATATATTACACAAATCTTACTACAGCCACCACTTCTGTCACTACTGCTCGCTCCATAATTATACAGCTTGTACAACAACTAACAGCAGCAGTAACTATTAATAACATTAATAATATATTAGTTTATGGTCTGTACATCTGTATATATGTATATGTGTTTGCAGTTTAGAAAAGCTAAAGAGGTCAGTATGAGGTCAATTAGAAACTTGGTCAGCTCAGTATTGATTCTTTAATCACTAAATTTAGGGGTTGCTCATAAAAAACAAATATTGGTACCATGTCTCAATGTCATGTCTGTTGTTATTCTATAATAAATATCCATAAATCAATTTAGTAGTTTGTAGTTTGAGTTGTATTTATTTGCTTGAGTTAATATTATTACAAATTACAATGTAAATGTATGTACACAAAGAGGGAAAAGAGCTTATTGACTACCTCAAAACAATTCAAAACAAATTCACACTAATAAAGATATGTATACTGGATGACTCTCTATTGGAGTTATCTATGAATTAGGTCAAATTTGAGGTAGTTATTACTAGTAATAGTTAATCGAATAAGAAGACAGCATCATTGGTTGCAGTTTATCTTTAAATGTACACATTTCAGTTACCCTCAGTACTTAAAACAGTTTATGTTACATTTCTCCTCGAGCTATAAATCGGTAATAGAGAACTAGATGGTTCCTGCGGTCTGTAGGTCAATAGCTAAGAATCTCCCTCCAACTGGAATAATCCACCCATAAATAATCTTTGTATGTCATCTTACTCTAACTCTATGACTGACATCAATAATCTAATCTAACTGTTTTGTTTTTAGTCTCTGTGTGTTTTTGTTTGTTTTTCATCACATTTGGTTTAATTTATACTGTTGTTACTTAAATGTTTTGTGTAATTGTGTACTTTTGTCATTGCGGACCCCCTTGAAAACAAGATGGTACATCTCAAAGGGGTTATTCCTAATAAAGAATGTCCACAGTTAATCATGAATTAACCTGAAGTGCTAAATCAATAAAGAAGTATTAGTTGTAGTAGCATCATTATACAGAGGCACTCATACAAATAAAATACCAATGCAATAAAAGATTTTTGGTGCTCAAAGCAGTGATGCAGCTGCAACAATAGTACATAGATTAAACAGATGGGTTCAGTAACTATTTGAATCCATTCAAACATTAAAATGAATGAAAACATGCAGACAAGAAGAAGCTTCCCTCCAGAAAACAAAGCAGCAGGTTGCAGGAGAATGATACATCTTATTGAAGCTAATGGTCAGGCCACTACAAAGTACCAGCACAACACACCATGAATATATTATACAGCAGCATGGTGCCACTCCTGCCTGCTAAGAAAAAGAGGATGAGACTACTATAAGCACCTGATCAACACACCTGGATGACTGAAGAACTGGGAAGCTTCACCTTCAGCCACCAACACCATTTTTGTGTCTGTGTAATGGCGACATTATTGAGGGTAAAAGACTGAATGTGGCGTAATGGATCTCTCCTGCTAAAGGCTTATTGGTGGTGTAATGTGTTCAATGCACTGTAATGGTGTGGTGAGTGATTTACTGGCACACATTAGACCCCTCAGTGTCACAGTGTACCAAAGTAGCACTGTTGATGGCTAGGTGCGCCTCTTCATGTCTGCAATTTTGTCAGAGGGATAGCTGCAGAATAGTTCTCATCATTGGAGGATAATTTGACGAAAACAAGACAGAGACTTCAGTTTCCTCCAGTGTGCCAGCACAGTCTCCAGCCCTCAGCACAACATGGCATCTTTTAGTATGAGGTATGAAATAGGCAGTTAAAAGAATGATTGCACGCAAGATATAACTAACTCTTGATTAATATCCACCTGATGAAAGTGCACACACACTGGTACACAAAGCAACAGGCGTTTGCAGATTATAAACACACACACTGCATTCACACGAGACAACCGGCATCAATTGCTGCTCTGTGCGACTTTGTGCTACCTCACACTAAATGCTAATATCAGCAAGCTAACATGCTCACAATGATAATGCTAAGCAGGTTTAATGTTTGTGAAGGGTCCATCTTCAGCTCCTTGCAGGCGCAACAAACCATGCTATTATATGAATGAATAGAAACTGTTATTAAAGCAATTTTAGCTACTACTAAGCAAAGAAATAATGGTAACCTAGTCTGTGTGTTTGAGCCACTACAATATATGTATTTCAGCGCAAATAACAGTCTCAACAAAGATTGAGCGCAAACAAAAGGTGACTTCAGAAAATAAAACAATTTGAAAAACAAAATATATTTATTTTAGCAACTATTAAAGGTCCAGGTCGTAAAATACAGACGCCAGCAGTGTTCAGTTAGTTGCAATCCCCAACCTCACCACGAGATGCCATTAGATCCTCCTTTAAAACTGCTTTGCAAAAAAAAGGTAATATACAAACATATTACCCAAATTTAAAAAGTTAAATAAAATTAGGTTCATTGTCACGTTGTGCCAAGATTCAGGATTTCTCAACCAGAATTGTATTTAGTATGAACAAAGCTTTGACTCAGCAACTTACACCTTCATGTTGGGAAATAAAATATAATTGAACTCCAATCCAATTTATCAAAGCTACTTGGACACAGTGGCACTTCCTGTTGTGTGTCAACAAAGCAGGTCCTCTCCCGTATAACCCACTACAGAGTACCAGTGCCCACTGACTGTACCAGTTTATTAGGTACACATAGCTTAAACATAACACAGTCTAATATAGAAGTCCTGCAATAAATCCTACTTTTTTTAAGATTATTATGTTCAGTTTTTGTTGAAACAGTTTTAGAGAGAAGTATACAGCCCTATTGGAAGTTGCAGTTTGTGTGCTCTAACCCTAACCCTCCATTATAACCTTTGTGAATATAGGTATGGAGGTTTAAGCACCAGTTTTAGTCTGCTGTACGTATGTATGTACGTATAAACATCACTCAGCTCTCCAGCGGCTGTTTGCTGTAGAAGGAGATCGAAGCGACAACTCTTAGCCCACAAATTGTGAACTCCAGGCATTAAAGAAAACATAATTCAAAGAAGTGCAGGCCCATGCTGTCTGTAAGCGGTTGGTGAGCACAAACTGTCAGATTAAGAGGTCTGAGAGGATGATCCGGCCAATATTTAGTCGGCTTTCTAGCAAATTACCACCAAGCATGTTTGGGTCAACCCTTTGGCTCCCTGGGGAGTGCAATACTTCTGACACCCAAACTAGACATGATGAAAAACAAAAACAAGACTGATCTGTTGGATTTTTAAAGTCTAGAACCAGCATCATGTAGCGTCTCTGCATGTGGCCGCAGAGCAGTTAAGGAGGGGTTGGCCATTTTGCCACTGAAAAAGGAAGCTAAGCATTTAGGTGTCTTAACCATGGTCTAAAGTGCTAACAAGGGATTAGTGAGGTAAACGTTGAAAGAGGTTTAGCACTCCATGCTTAGGACCAGTGCTGCTTCAGTAATTACACATCAGTTGCAAGGTGCGGGAAGCAGTTGGATGGGAGATCATAGTGATGTCAGGACAGGGAGGGCTTACCACAGGAGATAAGGCCATCTAATGGAGATGAAATGAATCGGTATTTAAAAGGTCTTTTTTAGTTAAGGCAGTTAGCTGGCAGCAGACCGAGCTCAGACCAGTTGGCTGTTTAGTGGGAAGCTATTTAGTTGGAAGGGAAAACAGGGACAGTGGAGAGGCAGGTTCTGTGAGCTCTCCAAAGGTTTTTCTTTTGCCTTTTTTCCTGAATTACGACAAAACCAGTTCCAAGCTCTGCTCACTGGTGTGAACTTGAAGGTAAGTCCATTATAACTTCCTATTAAAGATTTCCCACTCTCCTCTTCCATTTTCCCCCATGCTTTTCTTCGTGACACATTTGTTTAGGTTGGTTTTTTTTTAGTTGTTGTAAGTCACATTTACTGCACAACATCTACTCAGAGTATATGATGCTTCAGTATGTGATCAGAAATTACAGTAACAACCTTAAAATCAATGCATGCAACTGAATATTTGCATTGCAATTTTAAAAACTGCAAAACTTTCACACGGTAAACCTTGTCATGCATAATGTAAGCAGTAAACTGTATAAAAGGCTGCTGATCCCTCAGTAAGTGATTAATCTAAAGGCCAATGCGATTAGAGGAACAACCTTGAAATCTGTATAATTAACCTAATAATTAGCCCAGATTCAGCAGCGAAATAAAAAATAATGCTAAATACACAACAAATTAGCCTGTAGTTTTTATCGACTGCAAATGTCTGCATTATACTGAATATTTCTAAATAGTCATTTATATTCATGTTTAATTTTATGCTTTCAATCACCATGTTTTTCAACACTTTGTCATGTGAGCTTATGACACCACAAGTAACTCTTAAATCAATACTACCTGCAACTCTCCACTTCTGACTCTCATAAAATCTAATCTGCAACTGACAGAACATACATGGGTTTAACATGTGTTTGTTGTGTGAAGGAGGATTAGGAAGGACCAGACAATACTTCTGTCTTGTCTGATATGACCTCCTCAGGGCTCCATCTAAGTCGTCAGCAATTTTTCCCTTTAATTCATTCTTGTAATGAGATTAACCAGGCAACAGCAAATCCAAGGAGTCCAATCCCCGGATTTGGCAGCTGTGGTGTGGCCCCTGTGTTAAGGAAATATGATAAAAGTTTTTTCGGGCTCACCTGTAATGAGAGTTTCACTCACAAAACGCAGAAAGCTTCTTGAAATTTCCGTTGCAAGATTCTGTCGCTACCAAAATAATTTTGTGCAAGGTCAAGTTTGAACATGTGCGTTAGAGCAGTTAAAGCTCAGGCTACAACTTCACTTAAGAGACTTAAAACAAAACCTAATCAAAGTGTTAGCTGTGATCGAACAGGCCTTACGAAGGATTCCTCCAAATGGCTCAAGTTCCCACAAGCCTGGCCCCACTTTGTGCCTCTCGTGTATTAACCGTTACACAGAGTCACAGGGCTGAAACAAATACCCGATTAACAACACATAACGCTGTTTTGAAGGTATTTACAGAATCATAAAAGATTTTTTGTGTTGTATATAGAGTCTCTGTTATGTAGTAGAGAGTGTTTTTGAATGTATGAGCTGCCACATTCATTATTTGCTGACGACTACCCTCCCGTCCATCAAAGACCACAATGGAAATAAGCATGCTGCTTTTCTTGTGTTATCCATTATATTTTTTTCATGTCATATCCTTTAGTGTCTCTATTATGAATAAACTAAATCAATCAATCAATCAATCTGCAGCTTGATAAAAAATTAACAATTTAAGTTGTGAACAAAGATGACTTGAAATGACGTCTCCGCCAGCTCAATTTGTACAGGAACACAATTAAAAATCCTATTATCAAAAATATTATCAGCAAAACCTTTTAAAGGTTTGTTGTTTTTAGCTTATGTTTTATATTTATGGCACTTTGTTACTTTGAACGTGTGCTTATGTTACCTGATGGCTATGTCATTGTTATGTTGGGTTTTTAAAACCTGACCAGGGACTACGGATGAAAATTAGCTTATTAGCTAACTCTGGTACATTTATATTAAAGTGTAAACTGCAGTGTTGATTAATGTGTGTTGTCCCTGGTAGGTAAATAAATAAATGTCCTGAGCTCACCCCTCAAGCTAAGTTCCTAACAATGCTTGTTGGTTATAAAGTCAACTCAGCTCATTGGTATATTCTGATGTTTCAAAAAGAGCGATAACAAAGGACATAGTGTTTGTCATTTGAAGGAAATAAGATAAATTAGATTTAATTGTATTTATCCTGAGGGACATTTCTGTGCATCAGTCGCAGTACAAAGTAGAAAAGAGTCCAAATATCTTAAGTGCAAATATATATAACTACGTATATACTTTCAATAATGTTTACAATATCCGTAATTTAAACAGGTTAACATGAATATTAAGTGGCTACAAAAAAAGTCTCACAAACAATCACAACTTGAGAAACATTTTTTAAAAAATCTTTGTTATTGTGCAACAGGCGGAATATTTCTTCATCCAGATGGTTAAAGGAGTCTTTGGGGAGTCTGGAAACATAAGAGTTTTTCAACAATTGCAGCTTATTATTTTTTAGGAAACTAGGAGGCTAGGATAGCTCTGTGACTCAAATGTAATGCACATGGGAGGCACAATCTGGTGCTAACACAGGCCCCTTATTTTCCTGAGGCAACAGCCTGTCATAGTTCGTGGTATTTTTGTCTGAGCAAAGGTTTTACTTGATGCACTGTTTCTCCAGAGGCTCAGGAATCTCATATTGCTTTACATTTTCATTATTTCACTTTCAGGATTTAATCATTAAGTATGTACGCTGTTCATCCACTCAAACTACAACACTAACAAAGTCCAATCATCTTGAAATACCTACGTTTACAGTAACACACGTGAAATCGTTCATTCCTAATTGAGAGAATGTGAAGGCGATAATACATTACACAAGACCCCGAGGCTCGGGGCTTAGTGCCCACTTAGGAATTACAGAGACATAAATGTTGAAATACATTTCTTCTCATTTGCTGATGCTAGCTGTTATGACATTGGCAGAGAAGTAGGCGGAGGCTGGGTGCATGTGTTCGCGCCACATAGCTCCACATAAACCGATTGCATCCCCAGATTTATCCCCAAGGTGTTTTTAGGACATCCTGGGAGCTAATGGAGGCTAATAGGCTTAGCACTTAGGGTGTATTGTCCGGGATGCTTACAGGCAAGGTTTGCTGAGGGTAAAACTCTAAACGTGCGGATTACCTCCAACACATCCCTTTAAAGTGCTGTATAGCCAGGACTTAGCTAATAGGATCCTGGGGGTAGCAGGGGCCTGGGAAGGTGGGGATGGGGGTTGGACGGGCCAGCAGGGCGGTCTGCAGGCAGGTCAGCAGATGTAGCTAGCAGACTGTTGCTGGACTAATAGGAGGATTACAGCCCTCAGATTAGATGGGCTTCAGAGGGAACTTGAGTGACTGTGGATAATGCACAAGGCCTCGGGGCAAATCTTATGGCAGCGTTTGTCTGGGGGAGGGGACGGAAGAAGAAATGTGGCGATGTACATGTGCACAGTTTGCACATGTGCTCACAAATTGACAAACATATTAATAAAATACAATTATGATCAATATAAACTAATAAAATATAATATAAAGAGGTGAATGGTGAACTTTTGGGCTGTGAAGATTCAGATTCATCTACCCAGAAGCATATTGCACCCCGGCACCGGATTAGTAGAACTGGATTATTGCGCTGTCGTTTACAGTATCATATTTTATAATGGGATTTCTGCAGTGTAGAAGGCTAATTGGAGGTGTCTAAGTCTATTGTGATTGTGTACACAAGCTGCTGGCTCAGCCAAGAACAATGTGGCCATTTGGAGTGTGTGCATGTGTGTGTGTATGAGTGTATGTGTGTGTGCTTTATGACTATACTCTACAAAATGTGCTTGCAAGGAGGGACAGATCAGGAAAAATACTTAAAAATAGAACTTTTTTTTTTTGCTGGTTTCCACAATTTATGGGGTCAGTATTAAGGTTAGGATTTGGATTTAGGTGTCAAATTTAAGTTTAGGATTAGGTTTACGATACGGTGAGGGTAAGGGTTAAGGTTGGTTTAAGATTATTGCTTAATACTAGGGTGGAGGTAGAGTAAGGATCAGAGGTTAGACAATGAATTTGGCGGTGTGTGCACAGATCCCATATTGGCAACTTGTTCCAGTCCTGCTTCTAGTGTTTTATATATATTTTTTCAGTTCTCAACAAAGATATTTAATTGTCACAGCTCATCTTAAAAAAAAACACCACAAACATTTTCTACAACAAAAATAAACAATCCTCTAGGCTCTTAAAATTATATTTTATTCATAGAGAAAATATTTTGCTTATGCTTTTTAAGTTTAACTAATTAACTAATGTTTTAGTGTAATTACATATTATTTTGGAAAATAGCACAGTAGCACAAAGTTCATCAACAGCTTTTTAATAGTAGATACTTGCTGCCCCCTAGTGGCAAAATATATGCAACCATGCATCCATCCAAGTTCAATTTTCTTTTAACTTCAAAGCTACAATATTGTCAGATTAGTTAGACACAGGCTCCAGTTTTGAGTTCTTGAATTGACCCTTTTTTTTCCAAACTTCTACAGCATTTGAGTGGAGGTCAAAGGTTGTGCGTGTCATGACCCCACGGGAGCAGCTGAGGAAGATGACAGCGCTGGGAGAGCAGGGATCTTTGGATGAGAAGCACTGGTACCGCCTGGTCAATGGCATGTCGGCTGGAGGTAAATGAAAACACAGTGGAGACAAAGCAACATAAACTAAATATTATATAAAAAATTACAACTTTAAATAGGTGCAGAGCTTAGACAATTAGGATGTGTATAAAGGTACATTTATAATCTTTTATATTAGATCCCAATCTGGAGCTCCAAGCGGGTTAAAACCAACTTCGTATTTATTCTAGTGAATTGTTACCTGCTGCAGTCTCCAGCTTTCACAGTCAGTGCATGTCTCAGGTATTGTGGCTAAACTTGCTTCCCACTGACCTGTGGTGCTCTTCTCTTCTCTTGCAGAGCTGAGGCAGAGACAAGAGCTGATAATGAGGAACCAGATGGCCATGGCTCCACAGATCCTTGCCCAGGGGCAGCAGAGGTTACAGGGGGTGCCAGCACAGTTCGAACCTCGCTTCATGGAGAGGTCTGTACCTGAATTTCCTATTAAAACTGAAACAGTAGCTCTCTGGTAAAGGGCACCCTTGGGCATTGTCAGTTACATGCACATTAAGTGAAGAAGACATAGTTACTCGGGATATGTAACTGATGCACTGTGCTGTCTGTTCTGTACAATGAAAATGTTTTTCTTGAGACCAAAATGCATCGCAGTTATTAACAAAATAAGATGCAATCAGCTGATTATCTGTCAATAAATGTTCAACCCTTTGATATCATGTCTAGATTACTGATTTCCCATGTGTTTCTATCTTCAGGGAGCTGGTTCCCCCGACTGAGATGGTATCCTCAGATGGCAGACAGATGCACATGGGACCTCACCTGGGTCCACCTCTACCCCCACATGCCAATGTCATGCCTGGGAGAGCGTTCCCTGGAGCAGGTGAGCATTGGCCTGAGAGAATTCCCAGCCTGTGTTAAGGAATGTGAACGAGCATTAACAGCCCCGTCTCTCTTTCTCTCAGGTGGGTATGGCTTTATGTCCTCGGAGCCCATGGAAACAGTTGCCCGGCGACAGGAGCTCATTCACAAGCAAAATATGGCCAGGTAGTTAGTGCAGACATCCCACCTACACACACGTCTGCATCACATTTTGCTGAGACATTTGATGCATTACCAGGATTTATTTAATCCCCTCTGCTTCAGTAACGCGTGATAACATGGTTCCATCATCATCATCATCATCATCATCATCATCATCATCATCATCATCATCATCATCACTGTTGTCTAATATTTGTCTCTAATATTTGCGTGTGCCCAGAATGGAGATGAATGCCATCCTGCATCAGAAGGAGCTGGAGAACGCCCACCAGAAGGGACTCATGGGAATTGATAGTTCCATGTCATACCCTTCAAACCCCATGGCGTTCAGAGGTCGTCAACGCATGCCAGACGGCCACGATGTCTTCGTCCACCGCCCCACCCTGGATGAACTGCACTCCAACAGCATACTCATGTCAGCCAGCCCTTACCCACCGATGAGCACGCTGCACAGAGAGAGGGGGCGCAGGGCCGGTAGGAGGCCGACCGCTCACAAGAACGTGGAGAGCCATGTGGTCAACCTGAAGGGCCAGAATGAAGATAAAAGTGTAGAGCAAAGCCCGGGAGCCACATCAGGGGAGGAGAAAGAAGTGGAGGCAAAGGGGGACATGGGAGAGGAGTGTGTCGCCAGTAAGACCCATCATCAAGCAAAAATAGACTCTGAGCTCGCCACAGGAAGCAGGAAGAACTACAAAGAGGGGGAGCCAGGCCTGCGTAAAGCCTGTGTGAACAGTCAAGATGGGTGCTCAGATGTGGCCAACAGCGGTACAAATGATAAAGACATATCCAACCAATGTTCAGCTTTCCAGGAGAAATTCATGTATCCCTCTGCTGGCGGAGCCCTCACAGGGATGCCTTACATGTTCCCAGTCCCTGGAAATGGTTTCCTTCCACCTGGTGGGTTTGAGGATCACTATCTGAACATTACAGTATAATTAAATGTAAGTGTATGTTACAGCGCCAATATATGATGCATGTCATTGTCTTTTCCAGGTCCGCCCAATCTCTTTCATAATGGTGAGGAGGTGTCCGAAGACATCAGGAAGTGGACAGTGAATGACGTTTACAACTTTATCAACAGTATACCCACATGTTCAGAATATGCTCAGGTGGGTTCCTGCAGTTTTCTGTAACTTTATTCTTTCTTTTTCTTTTACTTTGTTGTGTCTAACGTTATGTGACTTTGCCCTGCAGACGTTCAAAGACCACATGATTGATGGGGAGACGCTGCCGCTCCTGTCAGAGGAGCATCTACTGGACACACTGGGGCTCAAACTGGGACCAGCTCTCAAGATCCGCTCACAGGTAAGGACCGTAGACTCTGACAGGATATGTGCTACTTTAAAATAAATCTCAGGAATGCCTGTAAAACACAATAACGCCTCAATAAATATAACTTTTCTAAAGCTTTTATGGCCTTAGTTTGACTTTGATCAGAGATGTAGGTTTCTGAGTCTATGATCTATGTTGTTTTTTTTTTGTGGTTTTTATTTTACAGAGTTAAAAAAAATACATCCAAATGACACAAATTACAAATCATATTCAGTACCAGGGAGAGACATAAAACCCAATTTTACAGTTTTATAAAACACATTAACATACAGAAAATGATATGACTACATTAAAAGTGATGACAAACTAATAATAAGTATATATTAATATGTACATACAATAATTTGAAGAAATCAAGTCAATTTTATTCATAGAGCACAAAATCTCAAAACAAAAACTAGCTTTTAAATCAGTACAACATCCTCTATATTACTGTGTAAAATAACTTTTAACATGCAATATATGTGATTTGCGCAGAGTAAACATAAGTAACAATAGTATAATATATAATAATATAATATGGAGAATAAGAATGACAATATTTGGTACTTGTCATAGCAGTAAAAGCCCAGTTGTTACTAATAATATTAATGATGAGAGGGGTAAGTATGAAAGTGATGGTGGAGGATGAGGGGCTTTTGTTGGGAGGGGTATCTCTGCTCAACTCATTTTATTTTATTATCTTTATTATTATGGTTTTTATTTCTTATCCCTTCTTATTTTGTGCATTTAGATAGTTTATTATTCTGTCTGTTTGTCATTTTATTTACACTTCTGTGCCTATTACTTATTTCCTAATGACTCCAATGTCGCATGCACAAATGTACTGAATGTACAAACATATCTGCTCAATAAAAAATATGTTTGACAATAATATTCACATAAATTCTGTTCTATTCAAGTGTCTCAGTAAGATATGACAGTGAGCCAACATGCACAATACCCTAAAACTGAGGCAGCTAAATGGAATTCAGCCATCATTGATTTAATCATTTACATCTTATATTGACATGTCTGCTGTGAAAAAGGTCTATAGTATTGGGTATTAATGACTGTGACCATCCTCTGCAGCACCTCCTGTCCTCCACAGGTACATAATACCAGATGCAATATAATCACCTCTCTAATATGTGTCCACTCTTTATTCCTCCTCAGGTGTCGAGGCGTCTGGGCAACATGTTGTACATGATGAACCTGCCACTCTCCACCGCCACCCTGCAGGCCCCTCCAGAGAAGCCCGGGGACCGCTCACCGGAGACCGGCTCCCCTGTTAACTGCAACAGTGAGGAGATGATAGCGAGTCCAAGAGAGCCTGATGTCCTCAAATCCACAGAGCACCTTCACGACACAGAAAACAACTCCCCTCCATCTGCCAGCAGTGAGACGGCCTGATCAGTGCTGATAATGTGGACAGATCAAACCCACGAACCTCCTGCTGCCACAGATTTGTTTACATAATGATTAACTGGATTGAAGATGCTTTTTTTACTATTTGCTACCTGGGTGTTTAATGCACAGGTTCACACTAGCTCCAGGTGTCTGCTAAATATTTGTATTTTACATATATATTTACATATATTTTTAATAACAACTGTGGTGTGAAACTGATGTGGATTTTGAGTTATGAGACGAGAAGAAGGTCCAATTAAATTTTATTTTCTTCTTTTTAAACATATGATTGTAGCTTTAAACGTAATTATTTTTATAAGCTGCTAAGTGTCATTTCTCCAGTAGGCCAACATAAGGACCATAGAAATTATTTGGGAATGGTTTTATAATGGAATAATGAACTATCTGTTTTGGATTTGGTTTGATACCTTTTTGTGTTTGTTGGATTGTAAATAAAGTGTTTTTCTACATAGGAACCTGCTGTACTGTCTCCATGTCATGGTAAAGAATAAATGAGTTAGGATCAAGAATCATATATTTTATGAAAAAATAAAAATATATATAAAAGTCCTGAAAACAGGCTAAACCTATTACCTGTACCTGTAGCTCCTTTTTAAGGTCCACTGAGTGAAATAAGACAACTGAGCAAAATCTAATTTCTGATTAATACTGAATACATTTATTGTTTGTATAATAAGCTTCTTTAAATGCATCATCCTGTTTTAAAGGGGGTCCCGGCAAGTCATTACATTTAATTTACTATTGAGTGGTACGTACAGAAGAACATACACAGAAAATAATAAACAAAAACAATAACAAACAAATAATAATTTAAAACTTAATTAAATGTTTTGTTTATATAAAATATATTAGTGTTAAAATAGAAAGGGGGTGAGCCACTGGTTTAACTGTATCACTTATGAATGAATTCCTCAACCGGTAATCTCGTTTATCTAATCTCGCGATACTACATGATTTGTACGCGTGCGCAGCCTCGCGCACGTCGGAGGAGCTGAGTTGGAGGGATCATGGCGGAGCGCAGGAGGCACAAGAAGCGGATCCAGGTAACATCACTTAAAACACTAAAATTACTGCCTGCGCGAGTTGAAGGACAACAAATAAAAACCACGCACTTGTTTACGAGCTGCTGCTGGATGTTTGCTAACGGCAGCATCCTCGCGGAGAGCCGTTAACAGCCGTTAACAGCCGGAAGATGAAGCTAGATGATGGCTAACGGTGGCTAGCATTAGCTGGCTAGCGAAAACAAATGTTTTTTTTTTTGATAAGGCGTTTCCGAGCTTTTTGTCCCTCCCACCAGGAGCACTCACACCTTGAACCACACGTCCAGACTGTGTTATAATTGTCGGCCAGTGAGCTGTCTCCACTGACGGCCGTTTTTAGTCTGACTGAACTGTCTGGAAACGTTTTGCAGGCTAAGCTGCGTCAGCTCTCTCCCGACGTGTTTACATAACGTGAGGCAATCTGCGGGAGTTTTAATTAATGAGTCAACACAGTGCATCGTAGTGGCACTTCATGTGCAGGTAGCGGCGGGTTAGTGTGGCTCCAGTGGGCTTTAAAGGCTGCAGCGTTGATTTCAGGTGTTAAAGCAACAGTTTGTAGAGAGGCTCAACTTCATCATCACTCCGAGGCATGAAAACACACAAACAATGCACGTCTCTGATCTGTGCCAGCGTAGTCTGACACTGATTGTCAAAACGAGTCACCTGGAGAGACCAGATGAGATGAACAGACTCTCACACGGATGATCAAAGCTGGGAGTTGTGTGGGTTCGTGTTTTGGACTAATTCTGATCAGAGTTTTGAGTTTCTGGTGTGTTGAAAGTTTAAAGGGGACAATATTTAAAATACTCAAACTCAGGGATGCAACATATTCACCTCGTTGACCGACACACTCAGATGTTGGTATAAATTGCATGAAATACCGGTGTGCTCCATGTCTTCAGGTCTGCGTCTCACATCTTGGATGAGAAGAGAGACAGACTGAGCTGCAACAAGGCAGGCATGTTTGTATTTGTAGGATTATTTGTTTGCCTGCTACAATAGGGAAAATAAATAGTATAAAACCTTGCTATCGGCCAAATTGTGGTTTTAAAGATTGGCCCTGAATGTTAGCATTCATTTAAAAAGACTAGATTTTTTAAATGTGGTTTTGATGTTCGCTATTTGTTCACAACTTAGTGCACAAAGAAAAAGACAGTGTATAATTTCCTGTTGGTATTAAACAGTTAACTCTATTGTATACTAGTTTGAAAGTACCTTATACAGTTAGTGTGCAGTATGGATCTGGGACACAGCAGTAGTTTCCTAGGAATCAGTGGGATAAGCTAATCTGAACTACTTTCACTCTGTGTGTTGTAATGAAAATGTTGAATTTGCCTATTGTATTGCCGGGCATAAAGCCGACATTATAAAATAGTTTAAACGACACTTACCATTGAGTGAACCACAGCTAAAGAGGCCACGACTGCATACACCTGGCGGAAACTAATGCTCTCAATTACAACAGCCCTGAAATAAAACACACAAGTTCAAATGTCCAGTTTCTTTTTAAGGAGTTTTAAAAATGAATATCAATGTAGACTAAACATTAGCCTCCATTGCATTAAACATTACAGCTTGAACAGCACCAGAAAATACAGCCTCCAAAATGACCATACAGTTGAATCAACACGTTATAACTTTCATGAAGGTAGGATTTATTGCACGTCTGCCATTAGATTCAGAACTGACTCGTCTATTTAGTTGTTCAGTTGCATAACGACACATACTGTTATCTCGTTTATGAACGTACCGTCACCAAAAGAGGCTCGTCTGTTACAACATTATCACTCTACACTACACACAATTCCTCTTTATGTTTTAGAAATCTACCTTTGACTTTAATTAATTAAATCCTACATTCATGGAAGTTACGATGTTCAGTTTCTGTTGAGGGTAAAAGAATAAATATCAGCAACATCTCTCAGTATAACGCACACAGTTCAACAAACTACAGCTCAAAAAATGACCATAAAGTTGAATCAACACCTTTTTTTTTAAAGCAGTTGCAGCTCCATAACCTTCGTAAACGTGGTTTCAGGGCCGCTGCATTAGACTGCATTAGTTTGAGGAAGGTAAACCTCCCGACTTAAGTGTAGGTTTCTACATGTTTGAGTTCAGTTGCATAACAACACACTACTGTTATCTATGTTATACTGTGTCCCAAGATCACTACCCCACATTACACAACACTTATCTCCTTTTCTGACATGATTTCTCCTTATTGTTCATATACTGTTTTCCATTGTGGATGAAATGGGTTACATATCTAGCCACAACTGTCACTTTATGGTGCACGATATGTTCATATTGTGGTTATTTTGGCAGATATTGTGATTCACGGTTAGTGGGAATAATCATTTTTGCATCACAATTTTCATCTTCACTCAAAAAATCTTAATGAGTATGTGACTTTTTTTGGGATTTGTACCAAACAAACATGTTTTCTTACATCTGGAGAACAAGATTTGTAAACCAGGGCATTGCTGCAGCACTACAGTACTTCATTATGTCGCTGTTTGTCTCACATTTTACCTTTTTTTTAAATAAAACATTGCAACCTCTGCTGTTCGGGTATAGCACTTGGTAATATTGTGATTAATTGCAGCCCTACTGGCACTTGAATAATGGATATACATTTTAAAGGACCAGTACTTCGGTCTTGGTGTAGAGGACTAGCATTGACCTGAGAGCTGCTTCCTTCATGGGCACACGGTTAGAACAGAGCAGCTAATCCTCATGTGATCAAGCCAGGTAGATCATGTAGACTGTGACAAGAGGGCTTTCCGTGTAGGGGTCTCATGTAACTGAGCCGTGTGACTGATACCGGCTTCTTTAAACAAAGGCTTGTTTGATGGCCTCGTCTTCCTCATACTGCCGGTTGCAGCCAGCTGGACTGGATAAAGCAGCACTGAATCTCACTGTGCCGGTGCTCTCGTTCCCTCTGTGTTGGCATGTGATTCAGTGCTGCCGGCAGACAGTGCAGATGTTGTGAGGAGGAAAGGAAAAAGATTTGGCCTGAATCTATTATTGCTACAGATTAACATCGACGATATATGAAACTGGATCTGCAAGGTAGACAGACGGTGTACCGTTCTTTAGAGGTGGGGACACTTTTTACAGGACATGTTCTACTTACATGGTCAGCCACTTTAATTTCAGCCTTATTTTTTTGGTTACTTCTCACATGATCACAGAAATGAAACACTGGAGTTTTGTGCCAAGAAGACAGAAAGTACATTTTATAGCCACAGATGACAGCACCCCTGCAGAAACTGCTATTACGGTCATTTAGTGATGGACAGTAAAATATTAATGATAGACCCTTAAAATGTTCTATTAACTTGGTCGGGTAAAAAAGACCTCATTTTGTGGACAATAGATATTAGACTTATATACTTTTTATACTGAGGGATTTTTTTTTGTTAGGCTGAAAATCAAAAAGCAGGACTGTTTTATGGTAACATTATCTTTTACAGGATAGACTTTTTCTTTTCAGAGGAGCCATTTTGATACAAATAGTAGGGTAAACACAGGTGTTACATATGATACTAATTAAGGTTTCGACCCCATTCAGGTCAAACAGTCGGGGTGCTGCTCTTGTGCATGTTGTCTCACTAGGTCTCTGCTACGTCTTAATTAGTATCATTGGTAACATCTGTGCTCACCCTACTATTTGTTGCATCAATGCTATGAAGTACCTTAATTGGTAGGTATTTAATTCACTGGGTTAGGCAAAGCAGATGTTCCCAATCTCTGTTTTGAGTTTAAAAAAAAACCACACACAGCACAATATATGTATATATACTTTTTAGTAAGATAAAAAAAAACTGTACTGTGACAGATTTAAACCACCCCTCACACCCACCTCGTGCCCACCACCCCTGGTTTGACATTAAAAGGTCTAACCGCAGTATGAGACACACTTTCAAAGTGCAATGTAGTGCAGAATCACTGATAAAAATTCTGTTCTTGTGAAGTTTCTAATGTGGTGTTGAACGTTTGTTAGGTGATACAGTCAGACTTAACTTTCTAGTTCAATGCCAGAATATAGTAAAGAACCATTGTATCAGCTTTAAGGACTGACTGCAATGTTGTGTGTGTGTGTGTTTGTGTTTACTCATCCGTTTGTTTGTGTGTTCCCTGCAGGAGGTGAGCGAGCCCACCAAGGAGGAGAAGGCTGTGGCCAAATACCTTCGGTTCAACTGCCCCACCAAGTCCACGAACATGATGGGCCACCGAGTCGACTACTTCATTGGTTAGTGCTCAGCTGTGGGATGTGAGGCAACATGCAAAACACACCTAAACACCGGGTGGAGAGTGAGTCAGGAGATGGCTGTCAAACCCTGCCCTCTTTTTGTTTTTCAAAACACACAGTCGATTTTGCCACAGTAAATGAAACCAGTGCTCTGTTCACATTGGTATTTTTGGGGGGTTAAACTATGTGCCACGTTGCAGAAGAGTTGACAAATTCTTAAAAACAAATGTTGCTGCTTCAGTCCCATTTGCAGACCTGATCCTCCCACACAGTATTTATATTTGTCTTGTTCTGTGGCATGGCGTAATCCATTTGTCAGTTTTGGGAAATGCTGTTTACTTAGTATTTGTGGGTAGAATAGGGTGTGACTGTTGAGGTCGGTTATTCCTCTCATCCCCATCACATCAACCTTACAACTGCTCACCTCTGCTGTGAACAGAAATATGTCTACAGCTGTCTACATCATCAAAACAGCTGTTTTTTGTGGAAATGCTCTAAAAACCCTCAGTACACCACATGTTCAGCACCAAACAGCAGACAGACACAATTAGGAATTGCTGGTGAACACAACGGAGCATTTAACAGCTAAGGAGCCAGATATTTCCCTCGGGAGTTAGTGGTGGCCAAAACAGAGCTAAAAGAGTGTGAATATTGGACTAACGGTCATCAGGGGGACAGAAATATGACTCCAAATGAATAATAATTATGCTGTGTAACTGCTGGATGTGTAATAATCAACTGTTTGTGAACAACTCGACCCTATCGACTTATAAGGTGATGATATGTCAATATTGTGTTGACAGCTTGTTCCTGCAGCCCCCAAATGACCAATAAAATAAGTTATTACATAGATTTTACACCATATAAACTACTGCCCTCTGGTTCTTTCCTGTATTCAGTTTCCTTGTTGGATTTACCAGGATAATCACTGCTTGACATTTTCAGCTCCTGTCACAGCTGCCAACTACCCCACATACCGTCCTGGACAATTTGCCCCTCCCACTAACACCAACTAACTTCGAACAGGCCCAGTAGTATTCTGTGTTTTTTAAATGTCCATGTTTGTGTCCCAACATTTAGCCTCCAAGGCGGTGGACTGTCTGCTGGACTCCAAGTGGGCTAAGGCTAAGAAGGGAGAGGAGGCGCTGTTCACCACCAGGGAGTCTGTGGTTGATTACTGCAACAGGTTAGCTGCGTAACTCACACTGCTGCACCTCTGATAGATGAACAAACAAATTTTATTCCAAAATAAGGCATCTAAGCATTAGATACATACACTTTCAATAAGGTTACTGGTATGTAGGGCTGCAACTAACATTTATTTTATTGGTTATTTTCTTCTATAAAATGTCAACTGTCTGTTACAATTTCCCAGAACCCAAGATGATGCCTTCAAATTGTTTATTCAGTTTACTATCATAGAAGATGAAGTCTATAGCCCTACAGGCATGAAACTATCATTTACATAAAAGTGCTTTCAGTCTTGCAGAGCAAGTAACTGACGAAACTCCCAAATGCAAGGCTCAAAATTTTGGGGTAATATCCTTCACATGACCTCTGAGTCTGCACAGTCAGTGTTTATAACCCTACACTCTCCTCCTTTCCTCTGTAGACTCCTAAAGAAGCAGTTCTTCCACCGGGCTCTCAAAGTGATGAAGAAAAAACCAGAAAAAGACACCAAGAAAGAGAAGGAGAAAGAGAAGGAGAAGGAGAAAGAGAAAGAGAAGGAGAAAGAGAAGGAAAAAGAAAAAGAGAAGGCCAAGAGTGACAGCAGCAAAGAGGACGAGAAAAAAGGGAAGAAGGAGAAAGACAAGAAGAAAGAGTCTGAGGTGGCAGAAACTAAGAAAGAGAAGAGTGTAAGTGACCGAACACTGTTGCCCTCTGTGATGACAAAACAGATTATATCTGTCTTAACAAGATAGTGTTAGAGGCTGCTTTGAGAGTAGGATCCATCTGAAACAAGGTCACCAGTGTTCTGTTGCTCAGTTCAGGCTGATGTATGTCTGTTTTATGACCGGTCAGACACTGCTGATCTGATCGGCCTCCTAACCTGACAGTAAATGGGTGTGCGTTGATTTTGCTGCACAGGTTTAAAGTGCACAGACCTTTTAGAAGTCATGGGGAAAATAATGAATGTCATTAGTTGATGGTTCTGTGTCAAGAGAGATAATATGGCTAATGTAGCTGAAATCATTCAGAGCAGACTTCAGTATTGACACCCGTCTGACTGGCACGGCTTAATGGCTGCATGCAAAGTGACAGAGGTAAAAATGTGATGTGTCCTCCAGTGCAACGCGTATCAGTTCACTTGTCAGAAGCTGCACTAGACACGGCGAACAAAGCAAATCACTTACCTCGAGTCCAAAACTGACGAGTTGGAGATACGAATATGAGTATTTCCCAAAGTTGTGGACTTGTGCTTCGGTGTAAACCCAGTACAGTAAACATATGGTCTACTGTCTGTCTCTCTAACCAGTGTGAAGGTCTCACACTGGTCTCTCCACAAGTATGATTTGTGAGTAAAATGCAGATTTTATAGTTTATAGTTTTTTTATAGTTTTTTGTTCATTTGAATTAGGATGACAGTCCTGGAACCCCCAAGAAGAAGAAAGAGGTGAAGAAGAAGTTTAAACTGGAGCCTCATGAGGATCAGCTGTTTCTAGATGGAAATGAGGTGAGTGTGAGTGAGTGAGTGAGTGAGTGAGTGAGTGAGTGGTGTGTGTGTGTGTGTGTGTGTGTGTGTGTGTGTGTGTGTGTGTGTGTGTGTGTGTGTGTGTGTGTGTGTGTGTGTGTGTGTGTGTGTGTGTGTGTGAGTGTGTGAGTGAGTGAGTGAGTGAGTGGAATAAACTTATATGGGAGAAGTGTTTGTGATCCTGGAAGATATCAAAAACTCAAAATGTGTCTGTTTTCTTCAGGTGTTTGTGTGGATTTATGATCCTGTTCACTTCAAGACTTTTGCCATGGGACTGATCCTTGGTGAGTCAGTGGGTGAAGATCCTTAATGGAGGGTCATCTGTCACTGGTTGCACTTTTTAGTACTCACACTATCATCTGTGTGTGTGTGTGTGTGTGTGTGTTCTGTCTTTCAGTCATTGCAGTGATCGCAGCCACGCTGTTCCCTCTGTGGCCAGCAGAAATGCGTGTAGGAGTTTACTATCTGAGTGTTGCAGCAGGCTGCTTCGTGGCCAGTATATTGCTTCTTGCCGTTGGTAAGTACTCGTGCTTCATACAAAATACCTCTCTGGGAAATATTTAAAAGTTCCTGTGAGAAATCTCTTCAATTAAACACAAAACAAATCCACCTAGAATTTGTTTTATTAGTAATCAAATAAACAGCCTCTTTACACACGCCTGAGGCTTGTTGAGTTGTTACAAAATGTAACTATATGATTATTACTACAGTTTTGCCTAACATGAGAAGAATATTAGAAGTATTTCAATGTAAGCAATCCAATTCAACACCACCATAGTATATATGTAATAATAATATGTTAATTAAAACTGAACAAAATGACCTTTATAAAGGTTTGAAGCTGAGTTGTTGCATTGGATTTTACAGGTTTACCTAATAAAGAGTGCATGAAAAAACATGTGTATGAATATATAACTCTAAAACAGATAAAACCTGCATTCTCATAGGGACAATACCTGCAACATAAAACTATACTGAGTGTCATTATAGTGTTGCATGGAGGAGAATGAGGTTTTTCACAGCCGAATACTTTAAATTGAATTTATTAATTACTATAAACTGTTATAAATAATTCAGTTTTGGTTCATACAACACAACCCTCTTTGTACGGCACCTTTTCAAACAGAGAAGCAATTTAAAGTATTTATATAAGGCGAAGAAATGCATTATAATGACATTTAAAAACAACAAAAATCAATTAAAACAGAATAAAATGAAATAGTAAATATTAGAACAAATAACAGACTAGAGACACAGTTACAGTGAAGTAATAATTCAATAAAGTGTAAAACGTTTCAGTCACAGACACAGATGAACATCCAGATTGTTACTAAAGTTAAATGTATGTGATATATTTAAATAGCTGTAGTTTAAAATGGATTCCACTGGTTGTTGCCTCTCTCCTCAGCCCGCTGCATCCTCTTCCTGATCATCTGGCTGGTGACCGGCGGGCGCCACCACTTCTGGTTCCTCCCCAACCTGACGGCAGACGTGGGTTTCATCGACTCGTTCAGGCCGCTCTACACTCACGAGTACAAAGGACCGCGATCCAGCAACAAGAAGGGCTCGGACAAGACGGACGACAAGGACAACGGCTCCTCCACCAAGGCTCAGAAGTCGGACAGCGACGAGAAGTCAGACAGCGAGAAGAAGGACGGCGACGACGACGACGACGAGGAAGAGGAAGAGAGCAAAGAGGCAGCGGCGGAGGAGAGTAAAGAAGCAGAGGGGGAGGGAACAGATCGCCACTCGGACACAGACAGCGACCGCCGGGAGGACGAGGGCTCACAGCACAGCAACGGTAACGACTTTGAGATGATCACCAGGGAGGAGCTGGAGCAGCACACGGAGGAGGAAGAGGAGGGGGAGGAGGAGGAGGAAGATGAGGAAGATGAGGAGACGCAAGAGAGGAAAGAAGAGGGTGGGAGTGAGACTAAACCCCAAACTGCTGAAACATAAACTTCTTACAAATCCCATCACTCTGTACTTCTCTCTCTGTCCTTCCCTCCCTCCCCTCCTGTGATCCCAGGACCCGCTCGTCCGGCCTCTCTGAGCCCGCTGAGGACGAGGAGAGGCTCCATCTCTTGTTGTTGAGATCTTCCACTAAACAGTACCGATAGACCAGTACCGGGATAAGACACAGCGGTGAAAAGTAAACTGCTACGACAATGGGGAAAACAAATTTAAACACAAAAAAAAGAAGAAGCCTTATGGTGGATCTGATTCCTCCCACCCAAATGTTATTTATGTCCAAATGAAAACCTGCCTGAGGAAGTTGTCAACCAAAATCCATCAGAACGACATCTCTGATTGAGGGTTTTCATTTCTTTGTCCTTTTTTTTTTTTGGTTTCTCATGTCATGAAGTAGCTTTTTTTTTTCGTGTCAACTCAAAATGTTTTTTATTTATGTCCCCCTGTCTTTGGTTACATTTGTTTCGTATGTGAGGTCAAATCCAGATCTTAGATACAGATAATGGAGAAGAGCTAAGCTGACCAGTAAAGAGAAGACATACTGGTTTCTTTGCCCCCTTCCTCCTCCTCCTCCTCCTCCCCACTACTTCTGTTGTTGTGGTTTCACTGTCGTCTTTGAGGTCGATGTTGTTGGTACAATCACGGTAGAAAGCCAGAAAGCCCCGGTTCTTTTACCTGTTTTTTGTTTGTTTTTTTAGTGTGTTGGTGAGCCAACAACGGCAGGAGCACGCTTCCTGTCAAACGCCAGTGAGTCTGATCGCTTTCTCAGGCAGCCCTTAAAGCAAACTGACCAGCGCGTCTGTTTTGAAACCTGAACTAAGCCAGATGGACCAAATCCTGTAGTTTACTCGAAGGAAACTTTACAAAAAAAACGACCATATTGTGACTGGATGGAGTATTTGGAGAACAGAGTAGTACGGCTCTTTGAGGTACTTGCCATTTTCACTAAGAAAATATGTTTGTTTTTTTAAATGGCTGATGATCATAGTGCAATCCTCCACACAGTCTGAAGTACTTCTAGTTCATGTTAAATGTGGGACTCATCTTTAAGAGTAAATGTGAGCAACTGGGACACAGCTGGCGTACTTAATTTTCTTCTTTTTTTTAAAGATTGCAGCATTTGTTGTACAACTAAACCTATAAAATGTTAAGTTCACAGATTAACTGTCTATTTGCAAACCGAACCAGATATAAAGTAAAGCAAACTAGTGCCAAACACAACTAAGAATGATGATACGCATGCAGATTTAATACGGAGAGTTGAGTGCGAGAACGAGGGGTTCATTTTGTTAAATTCGTTCATTTTGTAACCGCAGTGTCAAAACTCCTCGAACCTTTCACATCTTTGGAAAATAAATAATAAAACAGCACAATGTTGTTAGTGTGTAGCTAAACAAAGATTTTTTGGTCTCAATGAAACCGTTTTTAAAAAGGTGTTCGCACTAGACATCCCAAACCAGTTGTGTGTAGTCTCACACGAGCCGCCGTGTGTGGAGATACGCTTCATGAGTCCAGCTCCACTGACCAGACGAAAGCCCAGGAAACCCGGCGGCCCGAGGTCCAAGCTGTTCCTTCACGTTGTCTTCTGGCTAGAAATGTCTTAGATGCTCTTTTTAGTCATAGCGAGGGATAATATTTAAGTATAAAAATAGAAATGTATCATTTATATATTAATTCTATTGATATATCAAATATATACTTACAGTCTAAAACTTACAAAACAAACTTCTTTTTTTTGTCCCCCTTCTTTTCTTTTGTATTAGGAGGTATAATTTTTGTTTGTAATGCTCATTTGTGTTTTTATACGATCATACAACATTGTACTCTTATTTAAAGGTCACATCTGGGATTAGAAGTCAGTGGGAGTTTATTAGATATCAGCATTTTTTCTGTATTTTTTGCCATCGTAGCGTTGGATGTGTGATCTGGTTGATTGCGTGCTGCCACGTCTGTGTTGCTCTCACTAAAAAAAACAGTTAGGCATTAACCCCGAGCTTATAAAACCAGTAGCTTGCGTAACACTTGAGAGCAACCTGCTGGTTCCCACTTAATCTGATGTGGGAGAACGTCTCCTCACAGTGAAACGGTATTTGAATATATTTCACACAGCTTTCTGTACAGTTTCCATTTGTTTCGTCTAAAAAGGAACTCACCTAGACTGTATTTAGTCGTTTGTTCTCCTGTAATCCCACCGAGGGATTTGTAGCTCTTCTGACTTTCTGACTCACAAACCCACCATGTTGTTGCTCTTGTTTCTTTTCTAATATCTTTGTTTGTTTGTTTTCTCCCCCCCCACCCCCCACCCAAACGGGCAAAGTGCATCTCTGTGTCCTGAGTTGCCAGTCGCTGTACTCTCAATATTGGCATAACATTTCACAAAAGAGAAAAGAGAAAAAAAAGGATTATTCCCCCACTTGTTCTTGACTGTTGCACAGTATCGGTCTGTTGTATATTGTAGTATTATTACTCTCTATGCTGCTGCTTCTCATCGCACATTTCTGGGGGAAATAAAAAGTGAAATTATAAAACATCCGTGTTTTGTCTCTGGTCAAAAAACTTGTCTTTTGATCGCCTAGTTGTCCACATTTGGATCAATGTCATTCTGAAGACTGTCATGCAATATTGGAGTATAATTTAATAAAACTGGATGTCTGGAAATATATCTGTATCTTATCATTGCAATAAAAACTATAGAAAGCACAAGCAAGTATTGTCATATTTTTCCTGTAATAGATCTTTTGGTTTCTCTCTATTGATGCTCTGCAACTTAACATCCTCCTGTTATTGTTTGAGTGTGTATAACATGTATAGTGTAAACACTGACACTTAAATACTGTATCATCAGCTCACTGAAGGTTCAGAAAATACCTTTTTGAGCAGTTAGTACTGACCTGCTGCAGACATTTCAACAATGTTAATACGTGTATAAGTGAAAGGATATTTAATGCAATCTTCATTTATTCTAAAATATTTTATAACTTCTATTAGAAATATTGATAGATAACAAAAAATGACATGGGACAGAAATGATTTTCATTAACTGATTATTTTTGCAAACTTTAGTCTATTAAATGTCAGTAAATCCTTAAAACATGTTTCTTAGAGTCCATTATACAAGCAAGGAAAACAGCAAATCCTCATGTTTAAGAACCTGAAATCGTTGGCCTTTAATAAAATGACAGATTTTAAAACTTGTCAATGTATTTTCTGTTGAACGACTAATAGTTAACAGCTGTTTTTGTACACTGACAGAAAGTCAGTTTGATTCTAGTCTAGCCTTTATTATTAAATTACAATTAATGCAGTCTAATACAATAATCCTGCATTAAATCCTACCTCATTGACATTATAATGTTTTAGAGAGAGAAGGAAATATTTAATTACATTGCATTGTACAGACAGGTGTTTGCATTAACAGCACAAACTACATCCTGCAAAGGGACCATACAGTTGAATCGACTCCTCTCTGAAACATTATAACCTTCCTGAAGGACTGTTGTATTAGACTAGTTTTAGCTAGGTGTACCTGATAAACTCACCCTAAGAGTGTTTAATCAAAAGTTTTTAATAAAAGCTTCACTTACTTATCTTTACTTTTGCTGCTCAGTGAGCGACAGCCCCTAGTTGCTGATAATGAAAAAACACCACAGCTGATTTATCTTCCCTGCTCCGCCCTGCAGTCAGACTTCAGGTTGTAAACTCATCTGTAGTTAGACAGCAGCATTTCCAAAAGGTCCTGAAAGAATCCTAAAATGTTTATTGTAAAACTCTACATTTAAATAGGAGTAATACAGAACATTATACTGAGGTACTTACTGAAGAATTTGGTCATGTTTTATTGTAGAAGGTGGTGAAAAAATATTGTGTCTCAGTAATCTGGTGACATCCCACAAAATGTAATGAGTCAGAAAGTGTGCATTCACTCATCAGACATCAGATTAGACAATATTAGCCAGTGTTTTTATTTTAGCTCTGCTACAGACGGACAGTTTCACAGTTTAATGATCATAAAAACAACATGAAGTTTCTCCAACTGATTATTTTGTTCTACAACATGCAATCTGACTTGCAGAATTTAACTTGTGCAGAAAAGTAATGAATAAAATAAAAATGTGCAGAAAGTCAGATCTGGATTGGTTAATTGGCCCTTCCTAAGTCCCGCCCCTTTATGCTCTGTGCTCCAGTAACATCTGAACAAGCCTCAGTCAGAACCTCGGTCAACTTTCCCCTTTCCTGTATTTAAATACGCTCTCTCGTCTACCACAGTTAGAAGATTGTTAAAAGATAAAAGCAACATATACATATGTATACATTACATACATACATACATAATTCATTGTTTTTCTATTGCTTTTATTGTGGACTATTGTTTTTATGGATCATTCTGTTTGTTGTTTTTAACTGTGAAGCACTTTGAAACTGCTGTTTTGAAAAGTGCTATATAAAAAAAGTATATTATTAACTATTTATATCTATATCTATTTAAGAGAGACTCCAGTCTGCAGTTTACTAACAAACTACAGAATATTATATTTATTATCAGGCTTCATGATCAAAAAAGTTTTTTAAAAGGGTGATGTCGGACAAACTCTGTGTACGACGATTATTCGCAATAAAGTTTGAGGGCCCTGAAAATTACTGGAGTTCGCTGGGAGAAACAAAGCGGGAAGGAGTGAGGAGATGGTCTTGAAATATGGGAAAACCCGGAAAAAAAACAGGAGTTTTGGCAGGTATGACCCTAGTACAAAGTGTATATCCAAGAACAGGAAAGGAGACAGTTGACTGAGACTTGCGAAAAGGGGCGGGACTTAGGAAGGGTCAATATGTTTGTACAGAACAATTACATACAGTTGTCTTTGGTTGAATCAGTAGTAGAAATGAAGTTTTACGTCTTTTTAAGCTCCTATCTTGAAAATATATAAATATCACATAAATATGACATCAAATAAATGTATCCTAGAATCCTGTATGTACACATTTACAGTTACAGTCCTTAGTCTATTCGAGTAACGCCTGGACTGACACACTGATGATCACATTGAGGATTGAAGTCCAACAAAACACCCAGAGTATCATATATTGTAATAATTTAAGTAACTGCATGAGAAACATGCTTTCTCCCTATAAGCTAAAGAAAAAAGTGTTTTTACTGGAATGTTATGCTTACTCACATGTATGACTCAGTGTATAAAATACTGTATACACAGTATGCTCATTGTACATGCTATTAGGACTAATATAACACTACTTTGGCTGTAGACACGTGCTCTCGCTCTCCAAGTGTTTCTATAATAACCATGTTTGCAGGGTGACCTTGTGGTTGTCCCACAACAGTCCTGACTTCCACACTCACACTCACTCAGCTGCTGTGGAGAGCGTCGGCTCGGTGTCTTTAACGTAGGCCACACGCCGATTCAGTTTTCCGTGTCTGATGAGTCCGAGACATCCGCCAGCCGAGCCTGCCTCTTGCGCACGTTCCAGTGCAAACACTGAGCCAGGCTTTCAAACCAGTCGTACACCAGGTCATGGCAACAGATAGAAGGCACTGGGTAACAAGACGTAGTAATCTTGATACTGTTGGGAAAAAATCAGGAAGCAAATTAACCCTAAATTGAGGAAAAAGAAATGAAACGGCGGCTGATAATGACAGTTAATGAACTTTACCAGTCTCCATACTGGATCTCCTGTCTCTTCCTGCCATCAAACGACACCCAGGCAGTGTTCCTGGCATCAGGGGACAAGGTGATCTGTTTTAGGGGAGAAGAGGACAGACAGTCAAGCTACTCTTACAAGTCATAACAAGGCTAAGTCAAAGAGTTCTGCAAACATTTGACCTGATGATGGCTCGAGATAAAAAGCATCATTATGTTGTAACATTTCATAAAAATATTGGTTTCGAAATCATTTTGGTGTTCCTGCTTGGCGTGTAACAGGGTGAATGGTGCCTCTTGCACTATGTAACTTTGGTGTCTACACACCACCGACTATGTCAGTGATTTTGGTGAAACTGGATCGATGTTCCAAATGGGGCTGGACTTAGGAAGGGTCAATTGTGAAATATGGTCATCAATTCTTAAGTTATGGCCAAAGACATGTTTTGTGAGCTTTGACCACCAAAATCGTATCAGTTAATCTTGAAGTCCAAGCGGACGTTTGTGCCAAGTTTGAAGAAATTCCCCTGAGGCGTTCCCGAGATATCGCGTTGATACGAAGGGACAACTCAAAAACCGCCGGCACTGATGATTTATAATGAATGTGGCCTTCACAGTCACAAATCATTATCATCAATATCATTTGGGAAATGGGTGTTCACCCTTACAGTAGAGTTCAGACACTTGGAGAATCTTTGTCACTGTTCTGGCAGCTCGTGACGGCCTGATGCTTTACTAAGACACCATCTGTAAACAGTATGTGTGCAGCAGCCCCCCTCCCCTTCATTCTTACCATGAGCTCCACCCCAGCTGGGACGACGATTGGCCTGAAGGAGAGCGAGTGTGGGCAGATGGGGGTGACCATGATGGCGGGTACGTTGGGGTGGATCATGGAGGCTCCTGCAGCGGCGGCGTACGCTGTGCTGCCTGTAGGTGTGGACACAATTACACCTGGAGGACAGAGAGAGGGAGGACATTTATCAGATCTGCTCCAGTCGTATAGAGTTCTCCCCGACTGTGAGAAACTTTACTTTGTTTCAGTTAGAAAAGAAACAACAAAGTCAAGAGTGACATCACATGACGCCCTTACCGTCTCCCTGCACTGAGGTGATGAGCCGTCCATCGAGGTACAAGTCCACATTGGAGAGGTAGGAGGACGGACCTCGGTCCACCACCACCTCATTCAAAACCTGTACACAAACACACACACACACACACACACACACACACACACACACACACACACACACACACCAAAGTTAGAGGGCACTCAGAGAGCGAGTAACTCCACCAAGACAGCACAATCTTTCAATCTGAATCAGGATCAAATACATACAGATACAGATCTAGTCTCTGGAACCCTTTCTATTCTCCCATAGTTGTTTAAATTGATTCACATCATTTTAAACATTAAATAACTCCTCGTGTCCTTTATGAAACCATCTGCATTAGTCATGTTTCTCCACTCATTCATTCAGGTATTTCCTTTAATTTGTCACCCATCTGTAGATTGTTATATATTGGTGATTCTGAGAAAACCCAAATCCTCTTTAGAATTATTCAGGCTTTGAACAAGCAAAATCAGACTCAAGACCAACCATGACCCTTTAAATCAATGCTGTTATTATAGTGCCATCTACAGGCCAAATGATATGAATGTTTTAGTGTGTTTATGTTCATCTACATACTGTATATGTTAATTTGACCACCAATAAGTGGAATATGTTCCTGACCAAATATGACAAATATTTGCTAAGTGCTGGAATATGTTCATGTAGGAATACACTGAGACTGGAACCAGTAAAAGAATCTAAAAAGGACTGGAAATAATGTGTAAAGTGCTTTATAAACGGCCACATGGTGGCTCTATTCACAACAAAAACACATCAGTTAGTCCGGTCTGTTCAGAAATCTTAAACTACAACCTCTCTGGCAGAGATGATACAGGCAAAATAATTATTTATATCCCCATATATTGTGGAGCACAATAGGCCAGTCTTCAATGTCATTCCTTTTCACAAACAGTAAAATATTAAAGAAAATGTAATCGATGCATTCAGTACAGACAATAAATCAGCGCACAACAATCCCGGGTTACACCAGGAAACTACAGGCAGAGAAGAAATGCTGGTGTGCAGCCCAACGGCATACAAATCATGTTCCACACTTCAGTCAGTCACACAGAGCACTGCAGCACTGAGCAGTGATGTCTGGCAGATGTACTGACGTCAGCTGTGCACAGAGCAAACATCCCGCTGGATACAGCAGACGTGATGTAATGTGAGGTCAAACTCAGGTTCAGAGACCGCAACAATCCGTCACTGTCTTTGATTGATGAGACACAAAAACCCTGAAAGGAAAAAAACAAATCCTGAAAACCACATACTGCAGCTGTGTGTGTGTGTGTGTGTGTGTGTGTGTGTGTGTGTGTGTGTGTGTGTGTGTGTGCGTGTGCGTGTGTGTCTGCAGCAGTGAGGCATGTTGTTTAGTTACACAGTGTGTCAGACCGAGAGCGTCAGAGTTCATTAAATATCCATTCGGCGCAGACTGCACTGTTGACGCCAACGTCCCCATGGTAACTGGCTCTAAAAACTTCACAACATCCGACTCTCTCTGCCATATGCGCACAGGCAGCTTTATTATGACTGTCGCCATGGTAACCCAGCTCGCTCACTGAGCTGGACACATGAGCGGACGAAAAACGCACAAACACACCCAGGATGAAATGGAAACAAGGGACTGTACAACATTACTTTGCCAGTCACACGGCAGTTTTAGTGATGAACTGCACTGGTTGTGGTTGTTTTTAGTGATGGTAACAAACGTTTTACACTCAACCAACGATTCTGTGGCCTGTGCTGTGAAACTTTCAACCTCTGTAGCAGCAGTGCAATGTGCACATTTCCACTGCATCTGACGTCCAATAACAGACTCCAAAACAACAGCATGAGACGCAATATTCACACACAAGGAAACAACAACGAGTTATATTGTTTGCTTTTACTGTTGCGTGTGAAGAGACATGCGGAGGTGGATCTGCTGATCAATCTGCTGAGACGTAATCTCATTTTATTCTGTAACTGTGACAAGACATTCAGAAAATTAACATTAATTTATTTTGTGCACTCGCTGTGTTCTCTCTCTTTGTTCTCGCTTGTACTCTCATATAAACTCTCTTTATCTTGCTTTCTTTTCAATCTAGTCGAGAAGCTGACAAATTAACTTTGAGGATAATTAACTTTATTAGAAATGTCTGACCTTTCTTCTAATATTGACTTTAGTCCCACCCAAGCAGCAACCTACATGGCTGCGAAATGAAGCCAACAAGGAAATAACAAGTTTTCAGTAACCGGGCTTTATTCGGTCCGCCTCAGCTCCACCTCCTTGCCCATTTTTGGACTAGCTGGGAGCCGGCGGAGTCAGGACCACACTGAGCTTCACAACGGCTCTTCAGGATCCTACGGTTGACGTTGAAGTCCTATTTTTATATTTATTTATTGTTTAAATAAAGATTGCCACAAGTTGAACCAGCCGAGAGTTTCATCAGCAAACACCCCAATGATTTCTGGGCGAGCAGAAAGTTCTGCCTCAGAGCAGGGACTCCTCTGGCACCTGGCCATTGATCACCTCACCTAAGCTCATATACACCCATGTGGACACTTCTTCACGTGCCTCTTTGTCTTCACCTGTAGCTGCAGGGTGACCTTGCCAGCCTCGCTGTTTGTGTGTCCCTGAGGAGGAAGTCCGTTGTGTTCCTGCTGCTGCTGCTGCTGCTGCTGCGTCTCCTGGTCGTACGGCTGCTGGCCTGCTCTCTGAAGCATGTCCTTCACCACCTTCACCTTCAGACGACTGCGCAGAGTGATGGCTGCATTGCCTGGAAGCCCATATACAGACATGCATGCAAACATAAGCACAAACATTCAGATACTTATTGTACTGATACATGAAATTCTAACAACTAAAAGATTTATTTCTAAGGAGAGAGGGTGTTTGCATTCACATACAGACGACTACAACAGTAAATATTAGACCAGTGTTTCATATAATACTACAGTTTACCTTCAAACACTTTGGCTACTTCAGTCTTGTACGACTCAAACTTGAAGGGCGTCAGAAAACCCAGAGAACCGAGGTGAAACGCCATAACTGGAGGGACGCTGCCCTACAGAAAAGAAACATATTAAAATCAGGACAGCAGGAACCACATATAGTAACAAATATTGTACAGCTTATTATGAGAAATTATACAGTAAACTAAATATTCAGGATACAAGCTTCTTAACACACCGAGACTAATTTTAGAGTAACAGACAAAAATGTAGTTTTGATTTGATTTATTTTCCCAAAATAAGAAACAGCCACAGCTCTTTTATGTCATTTGTTTTGTTTGATCTTGAAATGCTGTTCAGCAATCTGACTGTGTGACATAAGGTGGGAACTTCAAAAGGCAAAATATTCAAATTAGTTTCACAGAATTTCCTGACTTTTCTTTGCAGTGATCACAATAAGGTTACAATGAGTCATTTAAAAATAGGAAATAGGTAAAAACAAGAAAGTTAATCTAGAGAAGGAAACCTTTGTAAAGATAAAATACAATACTACATCAGAACATCCAGGTTAATCACAGACTTTACAGTATTAGTAATTTCTCTTTAATTTAAGAGGATTAAAAACAGTGATAATAAAAGTGTGATTACCTGGAAGAGAGAGGAGGCGTAGAGCAGAGTCCCGTCTCCACCCAGACAGATGATCAGGTCTATGCAGTCAGAGATATCGTCATAACCTGCAAAACACATTGTTTTCATTTTAACAGCAGGAACTAAATCAAATATATTTTCATTCAGGAATGTAAGAACAAAGAGAGGGACACTTTTCATGTTTCTGAACATTTGGCCATCTTTGAAGGTTTCAGTCAGCGTATGTTGCCAGTAATCCACCCAACATCCAAAAAATAACAGTAAGAAGCTACAGGAACGGTTCTCGATAACAATGTCCTCTCTCCAGTAGTAACTATGTTAATAGCATTAAAATTAGCTTCATGTCCGTGGAAATAAGACTGAAACTGGACAAATATGGTTAACTAACAGACCAATGGACAACCAAACGTTTGGGTTAAATAGTTTCTAAAGTATTAATGTGATCTAAACTGAATTTTAGCAGCAGAAGTAGAAATTACCAGTTAGTTTTTTCAGGGTTTCCTTTTGTTTCTTTTATGAGACTCAGCTTTACTCAACTGAGGAGAGATACTGAACCTTTGGCAACAGTAGGTTCATCTTGACAGCTTTGTTACTGGTTATTTAGCTAATTAAGATTCTACACGTTTATAGTACTCTACAGTACAGTTGATGATGTTTAACCTACTCAATGCTAGAACCACTATTAAACACCACAACATTAAAATACCTTTTACAGCTGAAAGGTCTTCACTGTCACTTGAGTAAAACTTTTTTTTAAAGCACATTTTCCATCATAATATTATTTTTATTTCAGAAAAGGACATTATTAATTGTTTTAAACTTGTGAATCTGATGCAGTTAGCATTAAAGTGTGTGTCTTTATTGTGGGACACGCAGGACTCTCACCCTCTCTGAAGGTGCAGAGCTGATTGCGGATGGAGCCGAACGCCTCGTCCTTTGACAGCGTAGCATCGTCCGCTACCCTGCGCTCCACGTACACCATCATCTGCTTCTCCTGAGACGCAGAGACACGCTTTTAGTGACAGCATCCAAAACACACACAGACACACATCTCCGAAAAAGTACTCCATCTAAAATGAAGCTGAGCATGTGCCAAACACATGTAGGTTAATATGACGGCGTCTGTGTGGAATGCAAGTACAAGAGTTCTTGTTACACAAAGTGCGTCCTGTTTGGGAAACATGTGGCTGAAATGTGTCGTAACTGAAGGAGACCAGACTGTAATTTCACCTGCGTGTCTGCTTCATTTCCTGGATTCGGGACCACAAATGTTTCAGTGTGCAGTGAGCTCTGTTCTTTCATTTTTCTACAATATAGAGCTAGATAGCTAGATATTCTTAAATATAATCAAATGTTCTTGTATTGAGCAAAACAAATCCTGAAAACTAGCATAAAAATCTAGCCACTGAAAGACTGTAATGTGCCTTAAAACCAGAAAAATGCCAAAACGTTTAGGCAAGTTGTGTTTATTACAAGCAGATAAAACTCAGTTATTTAGGATAGACTTTAAAAAATAAGTATTTTGGTCACTTTACTGAGCTGAATTTAAGAATTTGTAATTTAAGATGAATAATTCTTTAAACAGCAAAATAAAACTAAGTGACTTTGTCTTAAATTAAGACAACAGATGTATTCTGTAAAAACTTAACAGCTGCTTCATCACACTGGGACTAGTTTCTCCTAAATTTAAAAGTGGTCTTACTCTTAAAATAAGGAAAATAATCTTGTTCCTCTGCAGGGATATGATACAAACCTTTGTTGTAACTTGTTACTGGTTAAATGTAGTTCAATATTAGCTGTAATATCTTATAAAAGACAAAATTATTTAAACTTAAAACAAGATTACTTTTCTAATACAAAACATGCCTGTGTAGATTATTTTTCTTTTTAGACAAAAAACAAGACTCATTTCCCAGAAACAAGGCTTTGTTACTTTGTAGATTATTATTACTGACCACACAACCAAGGGCCAGTGGAGTTTGTCTTTGCTACAGTATGTTATACACACAACCATATATCTCAGCAGGAACTTGGGTTTGTGTAACGGCCAAGGACAAAACTGTAACTGAAATCAATGAAACAGACAATCTAATCTAAACCAAACACTGGCTCTAAGATAAAGCTTTTAGGGAGTTCCACGGCCACCGCTGTGTCTTCTGCACTGAGATATTCAAATGCTTGTACTCTGCGACTTCAACACTATATGCCACTGGATCCTACACGCTGGTCCTTTAAAAATTATTATTGAGAAAACACAATTTTATTGCCTCAATTTGTCCATCCCAGAAAAAGAAAATTCTGCTGATATCTCGACAGAGAACTGAGTTTAATGCAGTAAAACAATATTAAGAGTGCAGCCAGTAGGGACTGAAGTCCAATTTGCAACTTATACTAGCGTGATATAGACGCCAGTGAACATGGACTTTTATTGTGAAATGTATACGTTTTTATAACATATCAGACACACATTATTGTTCCAAGCACACTATTTGTATTTATGTCTTAATATGTGTCTGGGCAGGATCACGGTCATACAAGTATGATGGAAAGCCCTTAGACACAATATGACCTAGAATAATTTATTTTTAGCACATTTTTGTCAGTACTTCCCAGCAGTATATAACAATAATAACTGATGATATAATTAACTAAATTATCATGACCTGGATAAGCAGCAGAAAATGGATGGATAGATTAACCAATTAAAAATGATTAATTCTGCTCAAAAGTGCATCTTGCACAACTGGTCAAATGTTACCGTTTAGTGCAGAGAGATTTTTAACACTTTCCCTCATGAAAGATTTCAGAGTGTCTCAAAATGAGAATTAGACCTATTTCTGAAGGTTTGGTCACATTTTCTACATTATTTATTGTGGAAGACAAAACCCGTTTATGGGACACACCACATGATAATACTTTACCTTATTCCATATGATTCATTAACATTTTTTAATGTATATTTACATTTATTTTTGCTTTTCTTTAATTGTTATTATCATAATTTAATCCAATTACATTTATATAATATTTTTTCCCCCTTTTTTATGTTGTGTGGCTGTCTGGGATGGAGGGAGTATTGTGTGTTTTTTTGTTTAAACTTAATAAAAAGTAAATTAATTAAATTAAGTCCAAACTGACACTTCCCCATTATGAGACAATGAGCTTCCTTTAGCAGTAGTGACAGCGTAGCTACAGGTCTGATGGTAAACAATTGACTATCACAACAATCCCGCTTTTAGTTTATAATGTCTCCCCACATCTGCAGTCGGATGCAAAAACATATTTATAACAAACATTACTGTCTAGAGTTCAGTAAGAGTTAAGACTTTTGTATAATTTAAGAGTTTTTAATAGAATCTAAAGCATATTAAAGGAAGTTAAAGGAAACTTTTAAAGTTGTGAAACCACAACTCCTGAGGACATTTCATTTCTCTCTAACTGAAACTTTGTGTACTGTATGTGAACACAACTCAGATTTATATGATAAAAAAAATTAAGGATTGGGTCAATTATAAAGTGGAAATTGGAAATGATGTGTCATAAGTAAAGTGTAAATAACCAAAATCAAGAGCGTCTCAAGACATCTGAATGAATCTGAATCCGTTTTCTGCATTGTTTCAGACACCAAGGTCTGCCTCCTCAATCACAAACATCCATCCATCTGATAAATCATACCTCACAAACGTATAATGTATGAAATCCTGTGATCATTTACCTCCACTAGAAACCTGCAGAGCTCTTTGAAAGGCTCGACGAGGCTCTCATCTCTGATTTTCCTGATGACGAGCACGTTGACAGGAGGTTTGTTCCAGGTGAGCCGCTGGCTGGCTGGGTCCTGAATGTGCCTGGGACATGGAAACAAACACACAAACACACACACACACACACACACACACACACACACACACACCATCAGTGCCTGTCAATAATATGTCACAGAAGCAGGACATTATGTATAATATCTCGTTACCCTAAAACCATGTCTTACATCCTAATAAAGAAGAAATATACGCTGTTTATTTAACAGTTACTGTCATTCATTAACTGTTACGACACGTTGATGAAACACCTGAAGGACTGAGGTCCAAATTCCAAACATCAGAATATAAAAAAACATTCTATCCCCTCTTTACCGTTTGTCTCTGTCCTCCTTTGCGCGGCGGATAGCAGGCATTTTGTCGAAAATGTTGTGTGTCTGTGTGTGTGTGTGTTTTCTGATCAAATCCACTCTTAAGACCAGGTGACAATAAGCATCTGCCGTCTGCTCTGTTAGCCATCCCGTTTCATGTAACATCCAATCACAGCATTCTCATTTTATCTTATCTCAGACGTCCCCAGCAAACAGTTTGTACACACAAAGTTCGATTCAATCAGCACCCTCATGCTTACATGACTGAAGTTGGGTTGGGAAGAATACAGGCTTTGGGTCCGAAGTGAGTGGCTGGATACGGTCCATGTAGAAAGTGGGCTCTCCTGTGAGGAGGGGGAAAAAACAAGAGGAGAACAAGTCAAGACCCTATCACCTCATGTCCGTGGCAACAGAGTTGTGCCAGTGGCACGGCGGACCAGCTGGCAACCTGCAGTGCAAACCTCTTAGGAGAGCTTTCCGCTGTGTCGCTCGCCGAGCCAGAGGGCTCCAAGTGCTCGTGTTGGCCTGGCAACCTCCGCCGCTCGACCTCCCACAGCAGCTGTTCGTGACCATCCCCCCACCGTTGCGACCTCGTCCCCTTCCGCCGTCTCCTTGGTGACTTGGACGGGTGCTCCCTGTGCTTGGAGGGCCTGGCTGACTCTGACAGCTGACCAGAGGGGGCCGAGGGTCGCGCCATGCCTCTGTCTGGCACTGCCAGCGGCCCCGGGGATGGACTGGTCTCTGGATTCTCCATTCTGCAGGGAAGTAACACAGAAACATCTGCTGAAGATATTTTTACAATTTGAAGAAATGAGATGATTCTGTGAATGACAGAAAATACTCGAGTAGAGCTGAAAGTAGCTGAGTAGCTGGTTGAAATCTAATTAAGTGCCAACTATGTATGCATATGATCCCTGATTAACTGTTTTGAGTCATTTCATTCATTCATTCATTTTGCGGTAGCAGCTTCTCAAATCTAAGGATTTTGCTGCTTTTCTCTGTCTTATATTTTTGGATTTTGACCAGTTGGACAGAAAACAAGCAATTTAAAAACATCATCTAAAGAAGACCATCTGCAGGCCCAGGACCCGCACTGACACTGACTCTTTATACCCCCACCCTCTACACGTTATAATAACGTTACCTTGCACATTGCAAATACTCTTTATACTTAATCTTGTGCACATTTAAAATAACGCTTGTATTGTACATATTAGCCTTTTATATATTATTGTCAATTATGCTGCTTGACTTGCAGTAGTTGCTTTCATATTTATTTATATATTTTTTCTCATACCATGTTATTTGTTATGCACCGACACACACAGGCAAACTCCATAATATGTGAAAACTTGGTAATAAACCTGATTCTGATCTGACCTTACATTGTCTCTCTTTTATATCATTTTGTAGACAAAAGTATCAACAAATTAATCAACCTTGGTTAACCCACAATGAATATAACCACCAGCTGCATCTGTAAACTTGTAAACTAACCTATTTTTTAGTGTTATTAATTTAAAAAAAAGAAGAAATACAGCCATTTTACACTTTAAATAAATAGATAAATACTTTCATCTTTGAGTTTCCTCAGGTTTTAAGACTGGATGCTACATGTACATCTATCTTGTCTTTGGAAAATGTTTACTAGTAAATGTTTCACCTAACTTAGTTTTTAAAAAAATCGATTTATTAATCACTAATGTCGTTAGTTTCAGTCCTGCAGCCAACAGACAATATTGATCGGCTACAAAACAGTCAAACATTAACGTTATCTCCTGTTAGCTACCTTAATGGTCTCCTTTAGGGGACCGTATATAAAATAAACCCATTATCTACAATGTTATTTACAGCATTGACATTATATTCACAACAGAATAAAGTAAAATTAATAGTTTCTCTCTTGTATTATTTAGCGGTGACCTCGGCCCCCGGGAATTAGTGAAATAATTAACAATGTTTATGTCTTTATACACCGAGACGTACTCGTCCATTAGCGGCTAACGGACACTAAAACAACGGACGTTGAGTTCAACTGACGGCCGTCAACCGTTGGTCCGCTGACAGCGAACGTTACCTAGCGATGAGCTAAACTAACGGAGCTAACTAACCGTTGAACGTCTGAACGGAACGAAGCCTTACTGTGTCAGAAAGAAGCGAACAGGCTCATGTCGCTGCTACTTCATCGGGGATTGAGTGTGTTTATAAAACCGGCAAAAACCAAACCGTGTATTTTACAGACAGACAGCGCTGTTAAAGAAAAAAACACACAAAAAAAATGTTACAAAACAGTGCGATAGTATTGGGAGAGAGGGGGGTGGGGGAGAGAGGGGGAAGTGATGTTTCCAACCGACCGTTCAGGGACATCACTGCGGGCTGTAGTCTGCGCAGGACGGGCGTTCAGTGTGAGGAACAGCGCCCTGTCTGGTGATACCGGAGCACAACAACAACGAGTGAAAATACATGGAAATTATTTTACTATGTATTTGTTTAATTATAATCAGTTTATAAACAGACTGAACAAAAAGGCTGCAATGACTTTTTTTTGTGAACATACCAATATAAAAAAAAAGCCATTAGGCTGGTGTGGTCTACACAGCAAAATGATTTATAAAATAATTAATGATTTTAAATATGGGGGATTAATTATCTATAAAAATGTAACTCATGATGGTTTAAAATCTTAATCAAAAAATAAAATAAATCTTCCACCTAACCATATTGAACTTGTACAACTCATTATATGTATTGTGTGTTTACAGGAATACAAGCGGACAGAGATTGATAGTAACACAGTAATTAAACAGGTAATTAGTGAACTCTGGAGGCTGGATAACACTCAGCACCTCCCATGGTATATTCTGGACTCCTGAACAGCTCTTTATAGACCTCCAGCTCCTTTGGACTCCCTAGTTTATGGGCACTTTGTATGTGTTTTCATATGCACTCTTAATTTTTAATTTAAAAAAAGTTACCAAATAGTGTAGTGGTGCTTGGAGAGTTTTTAAGCGGCCCATCCAGCAAAGGATAAACCCTCTTTTAGTTAACCTAAACAGTAATAATATAAAATAGTATTTGCACATTGTCACTTAATTTCCGCTGCTTGACTTCAAGGAGTAAGGATCATTATATTGTGCCTTCGCCATCCTAGGGGAGGAAATTCACCTTGCAGAACAGTGCTGAATGATGCAGAGGGTTTAAATGTGGATATACACAATGGAAACTGAATATACCCCGTATGTCTGCGTATACCATGCACTACACCACTGGAGTTACTGATTATACTAATTAAGTTCCATTCAAGTGTAAGTTTCAGAAAGCCCTAATTAGAATCATCTATTCATGTCTATTTCATGTCAAAATGGCTGCTGTGAAACTAATATATAAATAAATAAATATAATACAGTTATGGTACATTATATTACATAAAATCTTTAGCATCACAGTTTTACAGTATGTTAATTTATTTGAATTCACTATGTAAACAGATTAGATCAGTGGTGGAAGAAGCACAAACAGTAAACAACAATAAGTACAAGGGACTTACAACTGTAAAATAGTTTTAGCTTTATACTTTTCTTTCCCTATGGTCGGACCCAAAGTGTTCTAAATGAAGACATTATAGAACTAATAATATAATAAATGAAGATAATATATGAAGATAAAAGAATCCAATATATATGTTTAAATATATTTTAGGGCTTTTTTTTATGTCACAGCAGAGCCAGTTATGTGATTGGCTCATGGTTCAAACCATTCACAGTCACATGACTGGCTCTGCTTTGTTAATCTCGATTTAAGTTTAATCAAACAAAAGAGCGCAGTGAGCTGGTTCTCTATATATAGTCGGAAACCAAACCTTGTTTGCATCCTGGTTCATGTTACAGACACGTTCTCTGCTGCTGTAAGAGGTCTTACATGAAGGGAAACTTTGTGGATTGCATGTATGTATAAACATCACTCAATCCTTTTTTAAAGTTTAATTTAATAATAAATCAACTTCCTCGTTCAGAGTTCATACACGTTTCCTAACAGGATTCCTTTCCTCCAACGACGCCTTCTAAACAATCGCTGTGCTGGTCTAAGATATGACACAGGAAAGGAAACAGAGACAGAAAGTACAGTGCTGCATTTAACATCAGCTGACTGCTTTCACACAGGTAATGAATCCTAAATGTAACGGTGTCTGTGCATGTGTTTGTTTTAAATATGTGAGTGTTGTCTTATATCTAGGGGTGAAATGTAAAATGACTTTGCAGCACTGACGTATATTCTCAATTCAAAAATGTAATTAAAATAGTGAAAAGTACATAATTAATGGCTATATTTTGTATTTCATGCTCAGTTTTCATATAATGCCAATTTAACACAGTTAAATGCGACTTTCCCTGAGTAAATATTTGGTCAGTGTCAACTTTGAATTATGCCCAGGTAGCTCTACTCTCTCTACTGTTTGCTGTTACCTGTGAATTAATAACCTTAAATTAAAAGCAGCAGAAGTGTAGTGCAGCAACACGCCCACATAAACCAGACAGGTGACAGATTTAACAAGAAGGTAACGGAGCTACAAAGTTCTGATAAAGTAAATAAGTCATAACTTTTATAATAATTAATATAATTGTATAATTAAAATAAATAAATAGTCCTAGGTTTCTGCCTTTTAACAGGCAGTTTTTCCTTGCCCTTGTCGCCAAGTGCTTGCTCATGGTGGTACTGTTGGGTCTCTGTAAATAATGTTATAAGGAGTTATCTTATAACTAGACCTGCTCTATTTGAAAAGTGTCCTGAGATAACTTCTGTTATGAATTGGCGCTATACAAATAAAATTGAATTGAATTGAATTATAACATATATTATTAGCCTAACCCCACTCTGCTCTACAGGCTCAATCGATTAAACTATTTATCCTTAAATTCTACATGTACAGTTTAGATTTTACCTCACATTTCATATAGTGTATATATCTTCATCATAGTCTATATTTTCTATAATATTTTATAATATTCTTATTTTTGTGATTCTTTATTGTACTTTAATACTACATTCCCCAATGTTGCTGTGTCTAACTTAACACATAAAAATGTTCAGCCACAAATAAACATAACCTCTAACATATAATACGTCTGTCCACAGCTCAACAAATAAAACCTGGTGGTGGTTTTCTTTCTAGTTTTTAGATTTAGAGTTTATATACTTTTTATATAAGACCTTTAACTCAAAGTGTGGCCCTTAAATCATCATGTAATTAATCTTTAAACATGACATAGACTTCATCTTCAGCAATAAATCCTTCCTTTAATGTTCAAACTGTTTTAGAGATTCAACAGTACGATCAGTCTGGAGGATTTACTTTCTAATATTTAATTGATTTATTTAGTTGTTAATATAATTGGGGTGGTCAAAATATTAGAAACACCTCTAATCAAATTAAGTTTATTTATAAAGTACATTTAAAACAAGGCAAATCAATAAAAAAAAGGCTCATAACACCAATTAATGACAATAAAAGACTATATATAACTATATATAAATATAAGGTCATAACAAATATGTGCACAAATGTTAAAAACAGAACAAGACTTGTAAGAACAATATAAATAAAAGATTAAAACACTAAAACCCACTAAGAAAAATCAAAAGCCATAGAAAACATCCAACAGAAACTGAGCGTTACAACCTTTATTCAACTGCATTAGTTTAATTAACTGGAGTCTTTGTGTTATATGTTTACAAAGTGAGTTACAGACACAAGAACAAATAAAACAATAAACAACAAAAACATGTGTAATATGAAACTGTGAGAGGGTTTGTGCTCTTGAATCCAGGCTTTACAAAGAAGTTGCCCACACAATGATTAAAAAAAAAAAAAAAGGTTATTCAGGTACAAAAATAATAAATTTATTTATTGTAAAAGATGACACATCGTGAAAATGGTCAATTGTTTGTGCACATGGAATAAACTGATTCAGGGAACACATTTTATTTTTATTTTTAATCATTGCTTTGACAGAATAAGCAGATTGAGAGCTCGTTCTTCACCTTGGAAACAAAACTTATAACTCAGTGGATCTTGTCGTGAGATTGTTTTGCCGACTGCTGTTTCCAAGGTGAAGAGTGAACTTTCAATCTCAACTTTTGAGCCAACGTGGATTAAAAAAACTCCTCAGTGAAAGTACTCAGATTGTGTGGACATGTGCGACGCAAACTTCCCACATTTACCCCTCAGAACCTGAGCCCCTTTGATTAGGTTACACTACAAACAGTCTGAATTTATGCATTGCAACCGTTTGAAAAAGCTGCAGTGAAATCAGGCATTTTAGGCTGCAACAATCCCCCCCCCCCTTAAAAAAAAGAAAAAAAAGTCTGGAGGGACACATCTGCTGCGAGCGTTGACTTGAAAAAGGGTTTAAAAAAAGAAAGGACGAGCCTGGTTGCTATGGGACATTGTTTCTATGCAGACACAGAAAATGTTTAAATAAAGCATGAGCAGTAGATTTTATTTTAGGTCAGTTAGTCAGTGAGTTTTTTGTTTTTTGTTCATTTTTATTACCAAACAGTTTACAGAAACTGGTGGAGATGAAATGAGCTTGGTTTAGAAGTTCAGATTCTCCACTGAAGTTCAGAAAAAAGGTGACGTCATGAACTGTGTATCAATCAGAATTAAAATCTGATGACAGTTGTTTGCTAATGTTCCCTGTACTGTCAGTCAGATCTGATCAAACCACAGGTATATTGTCCTGATGAGTCAGGGTTCAACTCTAAATTCATTCATGTGAAAAGGGTCACTCTAGGGAGCGTTTTAGTGTCTTTCAGCTTGTAACTTTACTGTTTTGGCTCTCAAAGGACCAGTGTGTAGGATTTAGTAACATCAAGGAGTAAAATTGCAGATTATAAGTAACTGAACACTGCTCGTGTCTGTACTTGACGACCTGGGTGTGAGAACGGGCTGTGAAGTGTTGATGGAAACTGCGGTGGCTATGAAACTTGTGAGAAACGGCCTATTAACAGTCACAGTTTGGTTTGTGATGACACAAAAAATACCCATGAATATATATTCTATTTCCGACAATATATCCTCCTAAATGTTACACACTGGACCCTTAAAGCTGCATTTTCAGACACATCAGGCAGCCACGGTCCACTACCAGTGCAGCACCAAAAGGGAGAAGAGAACCAGATGTTTCCATTTGGTATAGACCAAAAACAGCTTAAAAAGAGAGAGCGAATGTTAGACCTATATTTATCAGGTGGACAGAACTTTTGCCAACAAATTTACCATAGCACAGTTTATTGTTTATTTTGTCATGAATATTTACTGGTAAAGGTCCAGTGTGTAACATTTAGCAGGATCTATTGGCATAAATGGAATATAATATTAATAGGTATTGTTTTCATTAGTGTATAATCAGCTGAAAATAAGAATTGTTGGGGACCGCCATGCACTAGAGGCCACAAAATCCTACACACCGGTCCTTTAGGATTTGAAATTAAGTTGTATTTTTTTGTAGCTTTTAAAAGGTTTAATTTAAAAATGCTGTTTCCCCCCACTGCAGCAGCAGATGCTCCATAATGACCCCGGTGCACGTCTTCTTAAAAACTGACTGCACGCCATGAATATCTCCCTCCTCTCCATCCTGCTCGGTCTGGGAGGAAAGTGTCTGCTCAACTGGACCCTCGTGTTTCTCCAAAGAAACCACATCTGCAAAAGCCTCCTGGGAGTTTTCAGTGTTTCCCTCGCCGTGGTCGACACGGCCCTGACCATCTCTGTCACCGCCCTTCACATCCACACTGAATACGTCTTCCTCCTGGGCTTGCAGCTGACCAGGTACCATGTATGTTTGTTGGTTCAAATCCTCGGACAAGTCTACAACTCTATGCAGTGGCCTGTTGTAGTCTTAGCTGGTGTGGACCATTTCTGTACGGTCGCTCAGAGGTTGCAACCCACCACCGGCAGGTTCAGATGGTTAGTCTGCGTATTAATGTGGTCCCTCACTGCTCTCTACGTCTTCCTGCTGTCTGGCTTCTATCCTGTCTTGGAGGATGTGTCTCACAACCAGATTCACCACTGCTGGGTCTTCCACACCTCTCAGATCCAGCAGGTTTCCATGTTGCTCCTCCTGGCTCTGAGCTGTGCAGGGTTGCATGCTGGGTGCAGCACGCGATTATCAAAAGATCCTCCGCCACAACAAACAACAGACCCCAGTAGAACTCACTCCAGAAGAAGTGTCGTTTACCAGACCGTGCATATATTTCTGAACACATGGGCCCCTTTCCTGTTTTTTCTGGTCGTGTTCCTCCTGCTACCTGTGGGAATACCTGCGTACCTGGGTCTGAACACTGCCTGGCTCTGCTTCCTCAACAGCCTTCTGATAGCAGTCGTTTTATGTGTGGTCTGTCCAGCCTCGCAGCTAGCGAAGGGCTTGGCAGCAGTTCCTCCCGACAGCTTCTGTGAGTGGAGATTTAAATTTAGCTCGGCTGCAGAGGACAGAACATGACTGCACCAAACAGGACATGAGTTAGAAGAAGTGGAGTCAGCTGCTGAGACCTGAATGTCTCATAATTTGTATTTCCAGATAAAAATTTGATCAATGGCAATGTGGAGGGAAATGTATCAACAGTTAATTTATGGCTTAATTATGCCACCATCATTTTAAAATGTTTTATATTCAGTTTAACATTTTTGCCTTGATTCAAGACCACGATTGCATGGTATGGAGTATGAACAAATATATAATATAATCACAGCAGAGTGAGGGTACTAGCAGGAATCAAGTACAACATGAACAACAGTTAAATATTCTTCAAGAAGGAACCTAATTTAAAAATAACTAACCTGACTTTAACAACACAATTAATTGAAACAGAACATTTTAGAACAGAAAACTCCTTTTTTATTTATTCTATGTATTTTGAAAGCAAACGTTAGAATATTAACATGCTAAACGAAGATGGTGAACATTATAAACATTAATGAAAATCACTTTCGGGTTATTGACAGGTGATGTCTGAAAAAAGGAAGGTTGTTTAGTCAAGAGAAACATTTTATCTGCCAAACAAAAGCATGTTTACATCTCCGGTGTGAGTAAGTTAGAATGCTTTACATTAGCATTTAACTCGTACAACCTCAGAGGCTGCAGACTCTGGATCCAGATAATGTGTTTATGCTGGCCAGTGAAATTAAGTAAGACAAGCTTTATGCAGCCGTGCTAGAGAATGAAATGACTACTCTAAAATAAAAAGTACAAGGCTCTAGAGATGCCTCTTTTTTTTTTTAACTCACTCACTATAAAGGTCCAGTGTGTAGGATTTAGTGGTATCTAGTTGCAGATTATAACTCACTCGTTTCACCCACCCTTTCCATCTGCGAGGGAGAAACTACAGCGGATGCAAAACTTGCCAAAAATGTGAAGAACCCTATCTAGAGCCAGTGTTTGGTTTGTCTCTTCTACTGCAGCAACATGGTAGTTCAACATGGAGGACTCCACGGAGGGCGACCTATGAATATTACATTCAATTTCTGTCAATGGATCCTCCTACATGTTACACACTGGCCTTTTAAAGTGTGTGTGTACACCACTGGCTTCAGTGTGTTGATATTGTGGTTGACTTTAAATAAATCAGCTGAAGTTAAAACCACATCAGCACCTCAGAGGACATACATACCAAAAACCAGCTGTATTTTATTGGGGTGTTGCTGCTGATTGTAAAGAAGATGATTACAGTGTATGTAAAATGTAAAGCCACGTACTGTCCAACAGTGGAGGGAGAGGTTATATAGGTCTGTTTGATGGAAGGCATAACAGCCAAACTCCTACTGAGGACTGATGTTTTCAACAATAAGTCATATTACAGTTACCGCTACTGATTAAAAACACAACTTCTATATAATCCCAACAGAGGGGAGAAGGTCAACTATGTACTTTGTATGTGATGGGAGACAACAGATGTATACAGATGTGATGAAGAAGTGATTGCATATGGATTTAAATAAGGTTGTGTGCCTCTATATGTCTGTGATACCTCTTTGAGCTGAACTTCATTATGATAGACTGATGCTTACACTTGATGACTTTTGTACAATGTTTATATGTTGATTTTATATGTTTGCACATGGAAATAAAGAAAAAAATATAAATAAATAAAACACATCAGCAGCTCTGATAACTTTAAATTAGTATATTGTGCTAATGTGTGAATCCTTCGTCAATTAAGAAGTTATGAAGACAAAAATCAGCTTCACCAGCGAATAAGAAAGGCAAAGGACAACAGCGGGTTTGACACTACAGAACTTTACTTGAATTTGATCCAAGTTCATTGTCTATACAGGGTATATTTACAAGATTTGAAATCAGGAGAGGGCAAAAACAGAAAAAAAACAAACACTAGATACAACTGAGGTATTAGCTAAAAGCATTTACAGGTATGTAATTTACTAGTAAATATCAATGATAAACAGTTAGAGATGCAGTGTCTTCTGCTTAAAAAACATCTTTTTATATCACAACATGAGGTAGGAGAACAGTGTCTCGATTCATGCAAGAACAAAAGTCTCATCACACTGTAGTATTGGCAACGTAGTATGCAATGGTCATACACAGACACTGTGTTTCATGTTTCAGAACAGCATTGGGGGGGGAGGGGGGAGGCGGGAAAGGGGGTTTCTTTTTAGCCAAGCCATGAATATTTTTTCATCTATAACAGGATGTGTATAAATTAAAACATGGTGTACCTCTTAGTAACCAGTGATCTGTGTGATCAATCACCAACGCAGCCCCACTACCTACTTCTCCCACATGGGCGTAGAATAATTACTGGTTGAAAGTTAAACATCCAACTACAAAGCACACCACCTGCAACAGTATTAAAAGGTCAACTAGGACTTTGTTTATTTTTCTCATTACGTAGCCCAGAGGCAATGGGTATGTAAATCCTGTATTCAAATGTGTTCACATGGTAAAAGCCGTGCTCCTTTCACCTTGTTTCAGACAGTTGGGCAAACTTCACACCTGTAAAAATTCTGTACAAAGCATATCCAAATTCTCATAACACTGCAAAATGCAAAAAGGCCCAGCACACCGTGTTACAAGGGATTTTATCTCCCCTTTCATTTACATTTAGTCCTTTTCATTATGGTGTACAATTAAAGAAGTTAAACAACGCCCCCTTGTGTATAAAATGCAAATTACACAAAGTAAAAATCAGATAACTGATTATCTGCTATCGTGATGAATTTAAAAGGATTTTCTTAGATTTTTTTGTTCTGCTGAAGAGGTAATTAAGTCAATAAAAACTAATACTGATTATCTTTTTGAGTGATGTTAATCCATTCAGACGAGGATATATGATCAGAATCAGAAAACATAACTACACACCCAGAGCTACATGAGCAAGTTTTTCTCTTTCCCTTTTCAAAGCTGCTGTGCTTCAGTCAGACGTGGGAGGCCAACAAACACTCTTTCTCTCACATTCTACCACACACACACACACACACACACACACACACACACTCGCACACACACACACACACACACAAATTTCCAAATCAAATACATTTTATGTTCTTCATAATCTGACTTTATATTTAGCCAACCTCTAAACCAATAGTGATATAAAACTTGCACATGTTCAATGTTCATGCATATGAGCCATCTCAATAGTTTGTGCATTATGTGGGGGGGGGGGTCGAACATCTTTTTCTTTTCTTTTTTCTTTTTAAAACAATGAATAGATTGATAGAGTGGCCCGGTGACACAAAAAAACATAAAAGGGGCAGCAAAACATGCAAAAAAAAACAATTTTTTGTTTGTTTTCTTTTTTTCCAAAATGCATTTTCTTCAACAAATGTTTCGTTTTTTCAATTTAGCTCAAAGGGGGGAAAGGGGGGTTTTAACAAAGAGGAAAAAAGCTCATTACATTACACGTTAAACAGTCCGTCAAGATGAAATCCACAAAAGAACAAATGCATCAGTTCAGAAAAGGGGGTAAAGTGTGTAACAAAGTATTATTTTCCTATTTTGCCTTTGTCCTGCATCATGTCTCAGTAAACCATGCGTTTCACTCCCCCACATCCACTCGACAAAAGTCAAGTTCTGATATCTGCCAAGATCACTTTTTAAAAAAAAACAACCTCCGAAGCCTTTAGTTCTGGTCCAATTTATATAACCTTTTGAAGATTTTTCATATAAGAACAGTTAATATATTAATGACTACTATATTTACAAAGTGAATATAAATCTTTAGTTAATACGTTAAATATTTTCTTTCATAATTTCAATAAAGGTTTAAATGGAACAACAGTAGAGTGTACATTTGCGGCATGGGTTTGATTTTACTGGTCTGCACCTGCACCTGCTTTCATGACTTATCAACAAACCACAACTGTACTCTGCCCGGTCTTTAAGGTCTGTTATTGTAAAGGGAAGCTGTGTAAGAAAATCTGCATCGAACAGGATGGAGCACAGTGGAATGTCTATCAATTTGCATTTATAGCAGATGCATAAAAAAAGCTCAGAGTTTAGCTGAGGCCGATCCCCTTCTCTTTTTAAACAATTATTTACACACACGCACACTCACTTACAGGGATCTCCTTAGTGGCAATAAAAAGCGCTTTTGCCTGGCAACTGACACAATAAAAGTCCTCTCTTCCTTCTCTAGCTGGACGTCTGCTCGCTCTCCTGGGCATCTACAAAACACTGCCCACCCCCAGCTGATCTGGCACTGGAGATGGATGGACGGGTATGTGTGAGTGAGTGACGGCCGTTTTTTTGTGGGAGAGGAGGGAGGGAGGGAGGTTGTTGAGGGATTGGGGGATCCTGTACAGTCTCACCCGAGGAGTGGGCAGAGGCCCCCAGACAACAACAGCTGCCCCCATTCTGACGGCACAAAACAAAAAGGGCTCCCCTCTGTACCTCCGGCGTCTGGGCCACCCAGCCTGCCGCAGGGAAGAGTGCACCAGTCCCCCGAGCGCTCCCCTCAATCCTCGCCTCCCTTCTCTTCCTCTTCCTGCCCGGCGCTGTTTGTTCAGCCAGGCAGAATAACGTGAAGCAGGGGCCAGACCCGAGGCCCGTAACCACCCTGGACTAACTGCTTTCACCTGCGACCCACATTCTTAGACGACGCTCTGACAAACAGGGTGGGGATAAAACCGTCTGCTGACAATGAAGTCAAATGATACAAAAAAAAAAAAAAAAGCCCAGAAAACAGGGACAGACTGGGGCTTTGATCATCTGCTGGGAACGCTGGGGCCATTGTTCTGCCTGAATGCCTGGACTGCACTGACACACTCGAGTGTGTGCGGGCATGCAAGGGTGTCGTATGGTAACACAGTACAGCTACCGCACATGTGAGACTCTGCCTTTCTTCTTTCTTAGAAAAGCTACACCGGCTCAGCCAGCCCCCGTGTCCAGACACATTCCTTTCCCAGGGGATTCTGGGGGAGGAGAGCACGTTAAGTGCATAACACCGCTCGTGAGCTTCTTCATGCCAAGCCTGAAAACAGCACAGTGTTTTCCTGTCTAGCCCCAAAGTGGGTGTTAAAAAGAGTTTTCAAGCAGAGGGCAATGGCGCTAGCGTGCAGCGGTGGAAGGGGGGGTTGGAGGAGACGCTGGGCAGCTGGCGGATCAACCGCAGACTGTTTGGTCTGCGACAGGAGAGTCCAGGTGCTGCCCAGCAGAGTGAAGAGGGGACAGCTAGTCTGTGTTAGGAGCAGCTGGGGTCCAGGCCAGACGATTTAGCTACCTTGTGTGTGTGTGTGTGTGTGGGGGGGGGGGTGGGGGGTGTCACAGTCAAAACACTCATTTCAAGCTCAGCGTCACTATTGGCATATTTTCATGAGGGTTTTTAAACAACATCTGTCTTTTTTTTGTACAGTAAAGGTCTTTCTCCTCCATATAGATTTGTTGTTTTTAAACATGTTGATACACTTTTATTTCTGTATTTTATAAAGGAGCCAAAAAAAAAAAAACAACAAAAATAAAACCATTAAGAAGTCCATGCAGTTTCCTGCAGTCGCTGGTACTTGAGCGTTTGGGCTTTACGTACAGAAAGACAGAGTAGGGGGAGGGGCACGCAACCAGGCGCCATTATGTGTCCGTGGGCACCAGTTGCTGTGCCAGGTAGTAGCATGAAGTGACGTCCGTGGAGCTGAGACGAGTCTGTGTGTCTGAGCTGAAGTCTGAAATCTCCAAGTCATTAGCTCCAAAATCCAGAGAGAGCGAGGAGGGAGATGGGAGAGGAGGGTGACAATCGTGGTGAGAAAAAAAAAAAAAACAATAGTGATGGTTGAGTTGGTCTCTATTTGACCCAAACTCCGGTCTGTGAAGCAGTTGCTAGTTCAGTAAAAATTATAAATTAAATCAAAACATACATGCCCAAAAAAATCTTTAAATACTGTTTAAAGAGAGGAGAGGGGAGTAAAAGAAAGAGTAATAAAAACACAACATAACATTTTTCTTTTAAGTGATGTTAAATTACAAAAACAAAAGTCAGTCCTACACTGAAATAAAAAGGGAGGGAGGGGCGAGAGATGCACAACTTAAAAAGAGCCTGAGGAGATGTGAAGCTCCTTTCTGCTTCAGGCTGATTTGTTTGTATCTGTAGAGTTGGCGGGTGATTGGGAGAGGAATGAGGGAGGGAGGGAGGCGCCTGGAGGGGTGGTAGTTACTTATGGCCAGCCGCTGGGGCCTCTGAGAAAGAGGAAGAGGAGGAGGAGGAGGAGAGCGGGGAGTGGGCGTTAGGGAGTCCGGTGGAAGGGGTAGGAGGAGGAGAGGGGCTGCCTCCCATCGTGCCAGACTGGGCCATCTGCTGCTTGAGCTGGGTGATTGTGCGCTCCAGCTTTTCCCGTGCCTCCCGCTCCCTGCGCAGCTCCTCCTGCAGCTCCTGCCGGTCCGCCTCCGCCTGCTCCAGCCTCTGACGCAGCTCCGACAACTGGGGAATCGAGAGAGAGAGAGAGAGAGAGAGAGAGAGAGAGAGACAGACGTGAGGTCAACTTGTGCCTACAGCAGATCAGAAGACATTTAGTCGAACGCATTATCTCATTTAACAACAGTCCGTCATAAGTGCTGGTGTGTGGACGTATTAAAAGATTCTGTGATGACTAGGAATGATTCAGCATTGCACAACACAAAAGTCCATTAAGATTTCCACAGATTGGATTGTGGCTCTCAGAAGTTGCGTAACTCTGGAAAAGATAACTTAGTCACTAAGGAATAAGATAATTAGGAGATGAAAATAAGATAAAATAAACTATATGGAGAATCTCCCATCTTTCATGAATGATTGTCTTTTTTCACCGCACTAGTGCAATAAAAGAAAGAAAACATTCTTTTGTGGTTAAATTTGTCTTTTTTTCCCTCTGTATTGTTTTACTTTTAGCACTGTCTGTTCATTTATTTTGCCGACGTCTATAGTTTGCATTTTTGTGTCGTCAGCGTGTGCTTATGTGGTTTGTAAACTATTTGAAAAAACGAAATAAAATTCAGAGATAATTTTCTCTTCCTATTAGAAACTGAAAACACGCAGTGATATATACACACAAAATAGACCCTTAACATAAACAAATAGCAGCTGAAAAGAAGTTAGCTAGTATCATAATACTATAGTAGGCTATCTACTGCTCTTGTGACTGCAAACAAAACCAAATTATCCAGTCAAAAATATTTTGTCCCGATCGTAAACCGCATTAAAGTTTTGAGCTTCATATTTCAGCCAGGATGTCGGGGCTCTGGCATCGTTCAGACGCCACCTCTCGCCAAAAAAAAGTCAACACCTTATCTCTTTCTCTTCGTTTTCATGTTTTCTTAACACCGGGAATCTGTCGCCACATTTCTAATAACACGTAATGTAGACGTTTCTTAAGGCAAAGACAATAAGACATAAGACAGATATTGTCTAGAACGCGCCAAATAATAGCAAGCTGCTTTGATTTGATTACACGATCTGTAGTGCTGACAGTGAGGATCACATTAGTCTCAGTGGTAGACATTAAATAAAAAAACACACATCATCATTTACCAGCCACCTGGCCCTGAGCTCAGCTTATTTTTCCACCGAACCCAAAATTAACCCGCTTTTGGCACACGGCGGGTGTTAATTTTGGACCCTGGTCTAATGTCACGACCAATGTGCTGTCAGTCAAACCAGAAAGGATGTACAGTATAAATACCCCTGTGAGAAACTGATTCACCGCTGTGTTTTCACTCTGAAAACTCTGTAAAACTGGTAAATTACTTCACACAGCGTCTAGTTTCAGGCCGGCATTAATCTCATACCCACACATACACTTGCACAGCCCTGCTCCTAAACTGGCAGACATCCTGAGTTTGATACCAAGGGGAGCGGGGCAGGAGGGGGATACTGCAGCCCTGAGCTCGAGCCAACATAACACAACTTATCTCAAGATTAAGTCTAGTGGAAACCCAAACAAAGTGTGTGCGTGTACGTCAACAGCAGAGTGACTCATAGGATTCACATACACACTAAGTGATTTAGTTGGGAAACTCTCAATCACAGAAAGACTATGACCACATCTAGAAAACACTCTCCACTACCCTTAGAGGAAATGTGGGCGACTTGTGATCTCAGAGTGCGTCGCCACTATCTGATGGAAACATGTAAAAGAGGGAGCTCAAAATATGTTTACATTTAAAAATCGACAACCCCCTGGTCGAAGCACACTGGAATCAACTGACGGCTGACCCGCAATTTACCAATCTCACCAATGTATTATTCTTGGTAATAAATGGTAGACAAAGAAAATGTAACGTTTAATATGAATTGAGCTGCACTTCCTCAGTTTGAGTTTGATTCACTGGAGCGTAGCCCTGCAATGTCTTTGAGATAAAAATGGCATATGTTAAGCGATGCGAGCCAATACACACACTGTATACGTCACAGTGATTCACTCTGACCGTTCCTGATGCCAAAGTCAGCGGTGTACATGCGTGTGTTCCCCTCCTTACCTGTGCAGTGTAGTGGGCCTCTTGCTGGCGTTGTGCCCCCGGCTCGCAGGCACAGGCCTGCTGTCGGAGCTGCTCCAGACGGGTCTCCAGCTCCAGTTGTTCCTGGCGGGCCTGGCTGAGCTGCCGCGCCTGCTCACTGTGCACCGCCTCCAGCTCGCAGCGTAGCTCGCGCTGCTCAGCGCTCAGCTCCCGTAGCCTCGCCGCCTCGCCCCCACGCAACGCCTCCAGCTCCTGAAGACACAGAGACTAAGTCAAGGGAAATAACAATAATAATGTGATACTTCACTGACCCCTGCATAGAAAAATGCTTTACATTCAGTCCCTCCACAGGGAGGTCAGATGTTTGATGCCACAAGGGACTCAAATGTAAGCTTCTACTGCTTATGCCGCCCTGCTGCACTAATTCAGAAAGAAATCAAAAACTGTGTGTTGACCTTTAACACATTCAGTGGGATTATGGATGTAGTCAAGGGCAAAGAAAAAAGAGACAAAAGTAGACAACGAGCAATAAAAGTTTTGTGTATATAGATTTAACTTATTTTTTGTTAAAAGCACAATTTGCTTATATTTTATTCTGTCAGACATTTCATAACCAATATTTTTTAACGGTGAATCACTCAGTTTAGAATACAAATGAAGTTCTCTCCAGATTCCTTTGGAGGGTTTGTGAACATCACTCAAATGTAGGTCAACTCTATTTCCATATGTCCACACTGAAATTAAACCAGTGTTTTAATAAAATAAAATGATGTTTTATATTATTGATTTACATTAAACCGCAGAACCAACCAGAAAAAAGGTTTTTGGATCTTTTTAGGCGGTACCAGGGAGAGACGGAGGGGTCGGTGGAAGGTGAACATCACCTCCACATCTACGTCAAGGACACTTTTAATATGCGAGCACAGTTATGGTGTAGTCAGGGGCTCATTTATCTTGGTCTTTCTATCCGCCAACTCACCATTTCCAGCTGCAGCTGCTTGTGCAGGGTGGAGTTGAGCTTCTCCTGCTGCCTGCTGTACATCTGCATGATCTCCACAACAATCCTGTCCTTGTCGTCCTCCAGCCCCCCCACCACAACTGCAGCGCTGCCCGTGTCCTTAGCCGCTACTTCCGTTATCGGCGACAGCAACGACGCAGGAGGAGGAGGAGGTGGTGGAGGAGGAGCGGTGTGGGCGGGGTTGTGGGTGGCTTTCTTGCAGCTCAGGCTGCTTGTCTCCATGGAAACTGCCTGCGTTTGGCATTCCCGCTCGGTGGCCGAGGCAGCAGGGCCACGTTGGGATTTGGCCTCCTCGGCGCCAACAGAGATGGGAGGCGACGCATGAAGATCTGAGGAGGGAAGAGGAGGAGGATGAAGGAAGGAGTTTTTTTTTGTTGTTTTTTTTTTTTTTTTTAAAGGAGAGGAGGTGGTTGAAAGACAGGAAGTGAAAGCTGCGCTGGTGTACACTTCCGCCCACGCTTAGTAACAGCCTCGCACAACATCATAGAAGCTCACACCTCTTTCTCAGCGCATGCACGCGCAAGTACGGCATGGCAACAGCCGAGGAAGCAAACACTCACACGCAAATTCAGTGTGTGTGTGTGTGTGCGCCCTCAGACACAGAGAAAGAATAGAAAGGAATAAAAGGCCTCGTGTGGGAGCTGCATTGCTCTGCGTGGGCTCCTCCTCTGTTCAAACTCTGGCCTGCTCCCTTCACTGTGGCCTTTAAAAAAAAAGGTGTACACGATGGGAAAAAGGATCAAACATGCGGTGTCGCACTCTCACAAGCGAGGGCACATGTACGCAGCTGCAGAGGGGCATGTGTAGGTTAGTGAAGACGGTGTGTTTGAGAAATAAGCTCACAGATAGACGGAGGAGAAGAAATAGTGGAAGAGAGTGACAGAGAGAGAGCGTGTTTACCAGCCTAATGTGCTAATGTGCTCATATGTGTGACAGGAAGCAGCATGCTCTGTACACAGCCTATCTGGCACTGGAAAGGAGGACACTCATTTACTGACTCAAGCTCGCTTGCACATGTGCGTACACACACATACATGCTCTGCACAGCACACACACACTCTAGTAGAAGCACATAAATAACAGGAGTGGGTCATTTGGTGTGGTGGTTAGAAAGGAAATAAGCAGGGGAGAGAGAGAGAGAGAGAGAGAGAGAGAGAGAGAGAGAGAGAGAGAGAGAGAGAGAGAGAGAGAGAGAGAGAGAGAGAGAGAGAAAGGCACACACAGACTGGGAGAGAATTCAATGAAAAGAAAAAAAAGGAAAGAGGTGGAGGAGGAAGAGGAGGAAGAGGAGGAGGAGGGGAAAAAGTGACAGCAGACTGTGAGGGAGGCGGAGATGAAGGGACGCAGAGAAGAAAGAGACGAGGATGGATGAATGGATGGATGAAAGAGGAAATGCGGGAGCAGACGGAGGACGGACTCAGAGAGGATGTGGAGATAGTTGCCAGGAAAAAGAAGAGGGAGGATGGAGGGAGGGAGGAGAGACAGATTGGTTGGAGGAGAAAAAGGGGAGCAGAATGCCTGGGAGATATGAGAGAGAGAGAGAAAGAGACAGGCTGGCAGTCAGACATGGCGTAATAATGGCAGACGGAAAACATTCCTCTGATTCACCCCCTCTCTCTTTCTCTCTCTCTCTCTCTCTCTCCATACATATATATACACAACATCTTATTAATGCAATGCAGCCTTAATATACACACTTTAAAGTGCACATAAAAGCACACCCCTGGAGTCTTTATGTGAAGGTCAGTGCATGATTTTGTGCATCGCTGCAGGCTGCACAATAAGTGTGTGTGTGTGTGTGTGTGTGTGTGTGTGTGTGTGTGTGTGTGTGTGTGTGTGTGTGTGTGTGTGTGTGTGTGTGTGTGCAGGAATTGTAGTTTACTGTAGCTTGTATGTTTACAGTAACCATGTGTCATCTCTCCGAGTGTGCTACAAGATCTGCACGTCTCTTCTACTCGTGTTGTGTAAATCGCTAATGCTCACTGTATGTGTGTCATGTATTTATAGTAGACATGTGTCAGCTGTGTTTGTGTGTCTTAATGCACATACAGCAAAACGCAAGAGCACATTATATAATAATTCATGTTAACAGAACAAATGTATCGTCCGTGTTGTCTGCAGTTGGTTGTTTGTGGAAAACATTCAACTGGAAAATGGCTCCATTACCAAATTAAGACCAGAGTACATTCATATTTGACAACTAAATCTCAACTCAAGGACCACTTACTAGATAGATAAATACTTTATTTATCCCGAGGGAAATTCAAATATTAGCCTTTTCCCAGAGCTTTTAAGCAGAAAAGGTCTTTTTTTCAAGCTCCTCCAAAAATTAACTTTCTACTTACGGGTGGCCACAGGAGGAGTTGTATGGACTAATACATTAATGAATGCTCATATCTAGTTACAACAACAGTGTTTTATAAATCATTTATCAGATGTTTATATGCTGCTTATAAATGCTGAATAAGGCCTGCTTTAAAGTAAAACAGGAACTGTATGACTATAATTTAATAATTAAATCGGTTTTGAACATGCATTATAGAAAAGACTATCAACCATTTTCTTTATCCGGGAGTAAAGAGAAGTTCATTTCCGAACATGAAATTTCACTTTAACCTGCTGTCTCTGGAGCATGTAGCTAATATGAGCTAGTTCTAAAGCTTATCATTGAATGGATACACTGGAAACTGAACTTTCACCAGTTTCAGCTCTCAATTTCCAGTATATCTCGTCTACATGGCCTCGCTCCACAGTGCAGTACCTCTCAAACCTCTTCTGGCTCAGACCTTCTGGTTGTCCCAAGAGTGAAATCTAAAGTTAGTGAAGTGGCTCTTAGTTTTTATGGTCGTAGCTCTTGGAATATGTCTCCAGATTGCATCAGATGTGCTCCAACATTAACACTGTTCAAAGGCAGACAGAAAACATTCCTTTTCCCTTGGATTGTAATGTGCTCTAAAAATAAAGTTTTGCTTGAAAAAATATATTATAATGAACGTTTAATTTCTGGATCGGTGTGGTTAAGTGGAATATGTTTGTAATTTAGCATGACCGTCATCTACTGACCCATTGGTGGCTCGTCGTGGCCCAGCACTCTGCGGCTGTAGTGGTGTTTGAGCAGCGCTCCGAACATCTCGGGACTCATCTCCGCCTCCCTCCGCAGAGACACGTTGGGAGCCACCATCTTATCGTATGTGTACAGGTAGTAACTGCGAGAGAAACAGAGATAAAGAAAAGAAAGAGATTTAAACACCGAACAGACTTCATATGTAGATAAATCTAACTAATGTTAACCCTAGAACCAAATGCTGAACATATAACAGCATTTAAAAGTCATTTTAAGTCAATTTAATTAAATTCCAAGCCTCATAATTAAGTACGTAATGAATCAACCATCTGCTTCGGCAGCAGTGTCACCTTTCACATACTTCTCTCTTTGCAGTAAAGATCGTAAAATGTTACGAGATATGGACTTTGTAGTGCTGATATACATAAAGCAACATATACTCCTGCAATAACCAAATGGCCCTTTTACCTCTACAACAGTAAAACACAGCTGAATCAGAGCAATACAACGACAGTCATTTGGTGGCTATTTTAGCCTATCCCATCTAAAGACGGGAGCTGGAAACACAGTGTGGAATATGGATATTTCTTATCATGTGTTTACAGGATCTCAGCCTAAATAGACCTACGGCTTATCACAAATGTCCAGGTAGTGCGTACAACTGAGTGAGAGATAGTGCCCGGAGATGCACTGAAGTCACTGAGCCAACACTATCTGCCTATTCTTGGCTACATAGCGGGGAGGGAGGGAGGAGAGAGAGAGAGAGAAAAAGAGAAGGAGACAGAGAGAGAGAGATGGAGGAGAGGAGAAGAGAGGCTTTGAACCCCTCCCCCGCCAGCAGTCCCCTCCAGACAGAGCTGAAGCTGTGAACTAGGTTAAGCATGACAGCTCAGTGGGGCTCTGCCTGAAAAACTACAGCACTACAAACCGAGCCTCGCTTCCTGTCCTCTGGATGGGAACGAAGCACTGCCTGCGCGCCTGACTGGGAATCTGAAACTCCGTCACATGAAACCCTGAGATGTGATTGAATAATGTAAGCCTGGCTTGTATGTGACAAGTGTACCGCTAATGGATGTCGGTAGTAAACGAAATACGAGGTTTAAGTGGAAGTCTAGCACGACGTTCGGCCGTGGCATTGTTATTAACGCTGCAATGCAAACAGACACGCTCCAAACTGGTCTGTGCAAGTCCTGACTGGTTTGAGAGTGTGGCAGTCATGTGATGCTGCTGGGAGGCGATCAAAACTTTAATCCTGCCAGTTTGTCTGGCCCCGACGTCTGCGTGCCACCACACAGTCAGTCAAGGCTGTCACATGTACACCATGGCGCCATAAACCATCTAATTCCAGTTTATAATCTGGGTCAGATTACTGTGTGAGCCATCAGAGCGCCATATCCAAACAGGACAGATGGAGGAAGGAGAAGAGAACTGAGGGCTTAGGGAAGAAAGGGGAAAGTAAGGAGGGAGAGGAGGAACATGCGATGAAGGTGATAAGGCTGTAAATGCCGAAACATTGTCTGGTTTCAGCCTCTCAAATGTGATGATTTTATATCTTTGTAAACTAAATAACTTTGGGTTGACATCTCTATTTCTCTCTATTTTTTTTTTTATAACCAATCCAAAAACAATCTATAGATAACTCCATAACAAAAATAACTGTTAGTTGAAACCCTAAAGCCTTATTATTGTTTAATTAAAGTGAATAAGGTGTAGTACCTGGGATGGACCAGGGTGGGGTGTCCTGGCTCCTCCTTGATGTCCGAGAAAAGACGGTTGAACACCAGAGCAGGTGGAGATGTTTTCCCCTGTGAAAAACACACACACACACACACACATAAATATCACGGACCGCAGCAACACTTGTCTTTTAAGCTATTGTGTTTCGGCTACAAAGCCACAGAATGGCATCATCCATCCACATTTATTGATCTCTGCATATCCTTTTGCAGCTGAATATTATCACAATGGCAATAAGATACATGCCCCCACACACACATACACACACACACACACACACATACATGAAGAGACGCAGCAGGAGGAGAAGGGAGTGTGCTGTACTGCATATGGCGCTCTCGGAGCCATAATCTAATAAAGCTAATGTATGCATGCATACGTGTAGATGAGGGATCATCCATCAGGAATCAGCCGAGAGAGTGAGTGAGTGTGTGTGTGTGTGTGTGTGTGTGTGTGTGTGCATAAAAAAGATAATCATGATAAAGAGCTTCTTCCCTGTATGTGGATGTAAAGTTGGTGTGTGTGTGTGTGTGTGTGTGTGTGTGTGTGTGTGTGTGTGTGTGTGTGTGTAGGGGGGAGGTGAAGAGCAGAGCCTTTCAGTGGGTGTATGAGTGTGTTTCCTGACAGGTCAGAGAGGAGAAGTGTGCCGCTATGGCTCGGTGAACAGGGGGTGTGTCAGTCAGGGTGGGTGATGACCCTGAGAGCTGACCTGTGTGTAGAGGAGGGGGGAGGTGGGGAAAGAGAGGAGGGGATGTTGGAGGTGATGGAGCGATGGGGTGGATGGATACGGGGAGGGAACCGACGACTGACCTTTCTTGCAGGGTCGACGTCAGCCAGCTTGCTGCTGGGGGAGCAGAGATCTGCAGAGGATTTCCTCACTTGGTTCTCCTCTTCCTCCATCGCCTTCTGAAACACACATGGAGAAAGAGACAGCGGTTAAACAGACGCAAGAGGTTCAAAGACAACACAGTGCAGCGTGGAATACATTCGTTATGATGCTCTGAGCAATTAAAATGATGCACAGGGAGCGTGGGAACGAGAGGAGGAAACAAAAAAATGACAACTGGCACCACGGTCACAGAGGGGAAAGACAGAGACAAATCGTATTTAACCGATAGGAAATGGAGACAAATGACATCCAAGAGATTGTAAATGGAGACGAATGGCATTCAAAGGGAGCCGCGCAAGTGAGCTATGGCCTGAGTCGGCCGCGATACGTTGTCAGAGGAAACGAAGGCAGCAGGAAAATGGATAAGCTAAGAGTAGAGGCTGAATGAGCCCACAGAGGAAAACACATGAATAAAACGAGAAAAAGCCAAGCCGATAGTCAACGTGGACAACACGGCCTGTCATTATGTGCTTCTGTGCGTGTGATTCATTGGTATACATGCAACACGGTTGGAGTCAGCCTTTTGCTCAATGTGAAGACATATTTTCTGGTGGATGTTTATGATTCATTGTGTCAGCTTCGTACCCTGTGAGCCATGTGTATTCAGTAAATACTGTTGGCGCTGCCTCTAGTTGTGTGTCTGGAGTGTGTGTGTGTTTTTGAGCAAATCCAGGACACGCTCAGCGAGAGGCCACAAGCTGATGGAGTTGATGCTTATCTGCGGCAGACAGGCCTGACACTACACACAGGCTGCCTGCAGTTCACACATACATACAAACACACACACACACAAGCGCTTTCTACCCAACTGACAGGTAGAGCGGGCACCAGAGGAACAAGACTTTCCAGCATCGCCGCCCAGGTAGCCCACAGCATCAGTCAGGGAGAGCAGAGACGGCGGGAGGAAGAGAAGAAACAGGGAAAAGAGCAGAGAGGGACAGAGAGGGGAATTTAATGAGGAGGAAAGTGCAAAAAGCAAAGAGCGGAAGGAAGAGCGAAAAGAGAGAGGTCGTGGAAAGCATCAATAATTGACTTACTAGCCTTTTAAAGCCGCCTATAAACGTTTATCCACAGAATGTGCACATAAACACACACACATACACACAATGAATAACAAACAAACAGCCTTTCATCAACTGGACACAAAGATTTTCCTCTTCGCTGTATCGACTACCAGACGCTGTCATTACCGGAGCTCAACAGCCTCAGAACAATACGGCCAAATTACTGTGACAGCTAGGTATTAACCACCTTACATACATATTAGCTGCTAGCCTAGCAGCAGCTTCATACAGCCGCTTAAGGCAGAAGCGTTTCTTAACTTGTTATATATCATAATATACATATTTATTTTAAATGTATTCTCACCCACCATACACTGACCGTTACCAATGCACGCACACACAACGTCAAATCCTTGTAGGAATAGTTCAACACATCTTCACAGCTTCTCTAACATGAGGGTTCACCGGCTATTTTGTGACATTTTAAGAGACTGAACGATTGATTAATTAATCCCAAAAAAATAAGAGAAAACGATCAATCAAAAAATAATAATGTAAGCCGAAGCTCCACTTTTAAGTCTCCTCCTGTAACTCCCTCTAAAATCACACATATCTATTTATATCCAGGTTAAACTAATGAGAGTCTACGTGTTAATGGGTTTAAAGGTTTTAGTAGATGTATTTAAAAACTTCGGACAGAGCCTCCAGTCTTTATGCTATGCTAAGCTAAGCTAAACATGTCTTGGCTCCAGCTCCAAATTTAACACACAGACATGATATATATAAATATATACACAAGAAGAAGAAAAAAACACTACTACTCCTGATTTGTGTGGGTGTGTGAATTCATGTGTACTGTAAGGGATAGTCCCTTATTTACAAGGGTATGGATGAATGGGCAAGTGCATGCAAATGTAAAGGGCTGGAGCCATATGCGCTGCCAGGTGCGTTCGCTATGTGTGTGTGTGTGTGTGTGTGTGTGTGTGTGTGTGTGTGTGTGTGTGTGTGTGTGTGTGTGTGTGTGTGTGTGTGTGTGTGTAGAAGGGGGCTTGTCCGTTTACTAGCGCTTGTGGTTGGTGTTTTTTCCTTTTTTCTCTCCAGAAGGCAGCACTGCAGCACTGAGGAGGAGGGAGGGAGGGAGGTAGTGAAGGGGAGGCAGAGAGAGAGAGAGAGAGAGAGAGAGAGAGAGAGAGAGAGAGAGAGAGAGAGAGAGAGAGAGAGAGAGAGTGGGATGATGGGACAGGGCAGAGATAGAAGGAAGGTTGAATTGACAGAAACAACAATAAGCCCACTGCAGTGGTATGAAGGCGAGCTGGATTTCCTCCAGTGTCAAGGTTGTCTGAATATATGTGTGTGTATGTGTGTGTGTGTGTGTGTGTGTGTGTGTGTGTGTGTGTGTGTGTGTGTGTGTGTGTGTGTGTGTGTGACAAACACAGACAGAGAATGAACACAGGGCCAAACTGACATTAACAGCAGGTCATTCAGAGGTCTTTCATCTGCTTGACCCTCACGACAGCTGATGCTCTGCTGATGAGACAACTGACAGCTCATTAAAAGGTAGGGGGTAGGTGTGTGTGTGTGTGTGTGTGCGCACAAGAAAGACATTCTTGTGTTGCTTGCCTGTGTGTGCATGCACATGTAGAGCATATATACATACGTGTGTGTGTGTTTGTTCCAGTAATGGTTGCCTGTGTCTCTCCCTGTAATTCCCGCTTACCTGACAGTTGACAGCTTAACACCCACCCCCCCCCACCCCACACCCCCCCCCACACACACACACACACCCCTGCTCATTATTCCTGCTGCTCTGCGCTCTCTATTCCTTAATGAATGTAAGCGGCTGCAAACGTCTGCACATTTCAACACAGCTGTTTTCCTCCCCCCCACCTCCCAGTTACCCATCTCTCTCTCTCCCGTCCGTTCCACCTTCTCCCCCCCCACACACCGCTGCTACTCTGTACTAATCTACAATAATGAAGCACCTCTCTTATCTGGGTTGCTTCTGCCACACACACACACACACACACACTTACAGCCCCTAACCCCCCCTGCGTCTCCAGTCCTTTGTCAGGCTGAAGCTCGTCTTATGACAATGTGGATTAGCATTCCACACACTCACTGAGCTGAACTCTGCCCTGTTGTTCCTAATCACCAGCAGTCTGCCTGCCGCTGCAACCACACACACAGTTTATCCCACCAGTATACAGCTACACGAAACACACTGCTCTAGACACACACACACACACACACACACACACACACACACACACACACACACACACACACACACACACACACACACACACACACACACACACACACACACACCACACACACACACACACACACACACAGGGCCTTGTGAACTTTTACAGTGACCCATTTCCAGAGCCTCACTTTAGTCCCCCGACCATTAGCACACGTGACATTTCTACAGCAGACGCATTAATGGAGCATAAAGTGTTTTCCGTGCGTGTGTCTGTGTAGCCTGAGTGCTGCTAAACCCAACAACAACAACCGCCGCTCCACTACACAGACGGCCATGACGTTACATTACCATACACAGTCTGGCAAACGCGGGCGGAGAGCAAATGCACTTCAGCGGCAGCCGTGCGTTTCCACCCTGAGCTCCATCTGTGCTTCCCACTGCAAACAACTAACTAACATCTCATAAAGACCAGGAATACTTGTTGCCTCTGGTCTCTTTTTAGCTGAAGCTTTAGAGCAAAAGGGGGCATTTGAAATGGAGGCTGACTCGTGTCAGCTTCTGTGAGCAGTGATCGGAAAAAAGTGTCGCTTTAAGCCTGTGCACTTTGCAGTTATTATTTTAAGTTAGAGATGAAGCTGATTTCTGAGTGGGGTGAAGGATTTCACCTTTACAAGAATTTGACACTGAAAATTTTACAGATTTCTTTCAGCTCCTTCCAGTCTCTGCTCATACCCACACACAAGAAGATTCATTTGTGTTTTGTTTTTTTTCTCCTGTAATTTCTACGTCTCTTAGCTAAAGGGAGACACACACACACACACACACACACACACACACACACACACACACACACACACACACACACACACACACACACACACACACACACACACACACACAGGCTGACACACTGCCACACAGAGAGCAAACAAGTCCGAGGTCAAGCTCTCCTCCTCCCCTCCGTCTCTCTACTCCAGTCACATGGACTCTCCAGATGACTGCCATCTCTGTGCACGCGCGCATGAGCGCACACCCACACACACACACACACACACACACACACACACACACACACACACACACACACACACACACACACACACACACACACACACACACATACATACACACAGGCTATAAATACACGTGCTGTCTTCATACATGTATAATAAAACGCATACATGGCTCGTCCCCCCATATATGTGCACGCTAAAGTGATGCATTTTTCCGTGGAGCAAATCGGCACTTACGTTTGAAAAATTTAGGAGCAGAAAACATTTCCTAACAAATCGTGAGCCGAACTCATAAATTAAATTTAAATTGTGCTCCTTGAAGGACTACTTGACACTGAGAGCAGCTGGAGGACATTTTGGAGACACAACTAGAGATGAAATGATAAGTTGATAAACTAAAAACTAACTAAAAGTTGCTAGAAAGAAAATTATTTGACAACTATTTGGATAATCTATTCATTGTTTGACTCACTTAACAAACAAAAATGCTAAATATTTGCTTTAACAAGCTTTTATCCTTTAATATCATTGTAACTTAAACGATAAAAATAAGCATTAGTTGCAGCCCGAGATACAAGTTTATCGTCAGGATCAGCGTGCTCCTTTTTTTAGCTCGTAACACAGAGAGAGAGAGAGAGAATATGTTACTGTTAACGCTGTAAAACCCTGCCCAGGATATTACACACACACTCATAAACATACTCACACAAACAGTCTCAACAAGCCTAATGGCAAATCTTAACTAGGGCACAATAAAGAGTGTGCAAGCCTTGTTCTGACCTTTCATCCCA